TTAAAATTGCCTTCCATGGGGTGGGTATTGATTTAATTTTTTGACTGCTATCATTTATATCGTTTTTCATTAGGGAATACTGTATATAATCTCTTTCTTCGAGTGTAATAAATTTTGAAACTCCCGGTGTATTGGCACCAAATATCTCCCAAAAGAAACACCATATTAATCCAAGGACACATGATATATACGAGATTCCTGGCCAACCCAAACTTGATGTTGCAATGAGTCCACTAACAAACATGGCCATTACCGTACCACAATCAATGCCCGAATTAGCCAAAACCCCTAGGCGATTTCTCTCCTCCGGCGGACTCCAATGGGCCAAATGTGCATAAATCGCTGTCATGTCGAAACCTTGGAAAAATCCCTGCAGAACACGTACGGTACAAAATATTTTCCAATCACCCCATTTTAGGGTGAATGGTAATGCTAAGCCAACCAGTGAAGATCCAAGGGTGGTTATAAATAATGTCGCCTTTGCCCCGAAACGTTTACAAACATAGCCAGCTGGCAATTGGGTGATGACATAACCCCAAAAGAAACTGGACAATATGTAGGATTTTTCCGCTTCGCTCCAATTATATTGCTGAAAATTAGATTTGATTTTTTTTAATATTTTTTTTAAAGGCATTGATTGATTTAAAATATTTACCGGAAAATTAGGATTTGTTGTTGTTGCATTTGTCATTGCCACCAATGATATACTGCCATTGTATTTGGTCATATAATTTATGGCAATACAAGTGAATAACAATAATGACTGGATGTGTCTTTGACCGATAAAGGGGCCTGAAAATGAAAACCAGAAATTAAAATTAATTAAAAAAATCTTTAAATACAAGAAAAATCATTGAAAAATTAATACTTGTGGGATTGTAAATTGTAATAATTAAAACGGGTTGAACATACCTTTGGCTACAATTGGTTCCATTATAATTTTTATTTATTGATTTTTTGCCTCAAAATTCTCTATACGATACTGTCATTTTTATGAACCTCCTAAAAAGCGTCTGATATTCCTGTCTCTCAGTCTTAATTGAATCGAGAAAAAATCGAAAATGCAATTTATCTAAAATTATATTGTTATCAAAATAACCAGAACTTGTGCCAAGTTATGGGTACTCAAGTCAACAACATAATGCTGCAGATAACAATAAATTGTTGAACAAGTTTTAGGTATTTGTTTGGCATGACAATGAAATTGAAAGATATTACATTGATATCAATTGATTCGGCCAATTTTACGTCATAACTTAAAGCAAGGGCTGCGGAGTCAGAAAATGTTATTGGAGTCTAAATCGAATACACAGAAAAAAATTTAATGAGCATGTACCTCGCTTTGAATACAAGTAAAAATTCTTATAATCATGAGAAAGCCATTTAAAAAAAAATGTAAACATTTCATTCATAATACAACTCGCTATACTTTACCACTATTTGCGCTCATTTTACCCTTCTCTCTTTCTTTCTCTCTCTTTGATAAAAACAAATGTATTCCTCTCATGAAAAAATACACCACAACCATCAGTGTTCGGCTGTGTTTTGTTTTGGCGTCGTTCTCCAACTCTCCACTTACTTGGCAGTTGTTATTTTTGCAACCGAATTGTTACCGACCTCGGTATTGGTGTTAAAAATTCGCATATGCTTTTTTCAAATTTTTTCAAAGTAAGTGCTAAATACAATATACCAAACAAGTGTTGATACGAACAACAAGTCCAACCGAATGTTCAACATTGCATATGGCAATTCTAATGACGCCAGCTCTATCGCGATTTTGACAGACAGATAGTTAAGGGTATAGCAATTTGGAATAATGCTATATGGGGATATGCCTAAAATTGTATCAATATTGTATCAATGTTGGTAGGGTACGAAATTATTGGCCAAGATTTCAAGCTGTAGGAGTGGAAAATTCTTTATGGGCATTAAAACCCTTGGTCAAGTTTTCGAGTTATGGCGCTATAGGTCAAGTTTTTTTTGTTGTAGTGTGATGATGAAAAAAGAAAAATCTTCATATCATCAAAATATTCTACAAAAATACGATTTTAAATAGGGTCCCCAAAGAAAACCATTAAGGAAAGTAGTAAAGTCGGACTGGGCCGACTATATGATACCCTTCAGCACTTTGGGTATATTGTACATATGTATCCTTACAATGATAAATTGAATTTCATTCGGGCAGATTTATTTAATTTCATTCGGGCAGATAAATTTAATTTTATTCTGGCAGATTTACGTACCGTGGGACAAATTTATGGAAAACGATTTCTAGCAAAATTGATACACGCTATTCGGTACAAAATTTAACCCGAGCTGTGCTACCGCGACCATATGGTCACACTCATATGACGATCAATAAATCATCTGGTGTGAACTACTGATAAACATACCACTGACATCAATGTCATTTGTGTGTTGCAATTGATCCTGTCGATTATCCTGATAAGAAAAAATGTTACAAATCAAATTTTTGGATAATACGAAAAAAAAAATAATTACGGCACTATTCGGGTTAATTTCAATCAGACACCCATTCGAAATACATATGGAAGCTATGGCTGCATCTGCACCAATTTCAACAAAACCCAATAGCGTCATTCAGTACGTTATGCCAAATTTCGTGAAAATCGAAAAATATATTCGGACATTAGTGCACCGTTTACATTAAATCGGACGAAATATATAAAGGGCTATATCTAAATCTGAATGGATCTTCACGAAACTTATCACACGCCATTTCGATTTTCACAAAACATAGCACACATCATTCTACACTCAATTCAGTACGCTATGCCAAATTTCGTGCAAATCGAAAAATATATAGGGTATTTGGTGCACCATTTACATTAAATCGGACGAAAATATATATAGGAGCTATATCGAAATCTGAACCGATTTTCACGAAACTTAACGCACATCATTCTACTCTTAATTCGCTGTGCAAAATTTTGTGCAAATCGCAAGATCAAAAGGGACATTGGTGCACCATTTGTCTTAAATCGGGCGAAAATATATATGGGAGCTATATCTAAATCTGAACTGATTTTCACGAAACTTAGCACACATCATTCTAGGCTTAATTCAGTACACTATGCAAAATTTCGTGAAAATGTAAATATATATGGGAGTTTGGTGCACCATTTATATAAAATCGGACGAAACTATATATGGGATCTATATCGAAATCTGAACCGATTTTCTCCTATTTCCATATGGTTCGTCCTTGGGCCAAATAAGTGACTTGTGCCAAATTTAATCAAATTCGAATCATAAATGCGACCTGTACTTTGTTTACAATTTAACATCAACAGACGGACATTCATAAATCGATTCAGAAAGTGATTTTATATTCTCAAAAGGAACCATGGGCCTATTTAGTTTCTTTATGTCTGTTACAAACATATGAACTACAGTGTGGTGAAGGGTATAAAAAGGGGCGAATATTAATAATTTTTGGTAGGGAGTTTTTTTTACCATATACGACTACAAAATATCAAATTACAGCGAATTCGATAGAAAAACGCGAGGGCACCCTTTTATGGCGGCTACCGGAAAAAGTGGATCTATATTTAGTACCAAATTTCAGCGAATTGGGTTATCGTGCATAAAGAATCTCAAAATACCAAAAATTGGGGGAATCCATATAAGGCTAAGCCTAAACGTGAACCGATATAGCCCATATTCGAACTTGATCTGCCTGGAGATCTATCTGAATTCGTTTAGACACTAGAGTGATTACAACATACGGACATGATTAAATCGTCATAGAATTTTCGGCTGATATATATATATATATACAAACGGAAAAACAAACCCAGTGAACGGAGCAGTATAGTCGGACGGTACCCTACACAACTACCACGGAACTCTAACTTTCTGCGGATGTTTATTCCGAGTCTGGGTAATATTTCGTAATAATTGCCCCATCTTGCCCGATTAGAGGTCAAAAGCACCTCTTCCTTACATTTTCGAATATTCAGTACAGCCCTTCTAATTACTTGTTCAGATTCCCTTCACGGTGGGTTGTGTTGTGATGTTCGGACTAAATTCGATCCGAAAACACACAAAAAAATTAAGTTTTCGGTCCATTTCATCCCAAAAGTTTAATCTGATCATCACCGAAAATTGTAGGCGTTGTCCTTGACCATAACTGAAAGTTCATGGAAAATTTCAAAGCGAGCAGCGCTATATATAGAATACAAATTTTGTCATTTTTCACACAAAAGTCAGGGTCAATTTGACCCGCTAAATATTGACCGATCTTTATCAAAGCATGCATGCTTATTATCTGGTCCTATCCCCTTCTCCATGCAAAAATTCGCGGTGATTGGGTCATAATTGCGGCTTCTGGGGCGACCAGAAAAACCGACAAAAATAACGTTTTTGGTCCATTTCATCCCCTAAATATTAACCGAGCTTTGCCAAAAACAATAGGGGTCTTCATTGGCCAGAACCCACCCTACATGCAAAATTTCGTGAAGATTTGTCTATAACTGTGGCCTCTATCGTGTTTACGGACGGACGGACACACATGTCTAGATCGACTCAGCTAGTCGAGATATGGCGATCGGTATACTTAAAGGTGGGTCTAGGACCAATATTTCGCGGCGTTACAAACTCTTGGGACTGCACAAGCTATAATAACCTGACAACATAGTTGTATAGGGTATAATTAATATACCCTCCATATTTTAAAAATTTAATTGTTTACAAGTCTTCAATGTATGGAATATTTTTAACAGGTAATTTTAAATATAACCTCCAAATCAATTATTGTATGCTTACCACAATTTGAAAACATCACATCACGAAATGTAAAAATACAAGTGTGACTTTTTTAGTTTCAAAATTTATTAATATTAGTTTATCACACATCCACTTTAATTCCCTTCGAACGACCATCAATATTGCCAACACTTTGAATATCTCTTCTAGATTCCTGAAAATCTGGATCGTTCCATGGCTGGACATCGGTTGTACCCCAGATCAGATAAATCATATTAGTAACAACATATACGGAACCGCAAATGGCAAACACAATTTGCCACTGTTTGATATTAGACTAGAAAAGGAAGAACAAATAATTATTTTATATCCTTCGAATAACATAACACTACACTTACATTATCGCTAACAATGGCACCCGCCACTAGCGGTGTTAAAATTGGCATTATAGTTGCTACTGAATTTATAAAACTCATCAAAATGGCCGTGTGATTCGGAGCTAAATCGAGGACATTCAAACCACTGCCAATCATATTGCCAGCATTTAGAGCTACAATGGCAATTAATAACACCCCAGCAAATATTTGTTGTTCAACTTCCAAAAATCCAATAGCGAAAAGACACATGGCAGGTATCCAAAAAGCAATGGAATTGAAAGTTTTTCTTAAACTTTTCAGTGTGAACACGTCGTATTTGAGAAGTAAATCAGCCAGTATTAAATACACGTATGACATTATCCATAGCACAATGAATGGCAAGGCGGAATATAGTGTATTATTTTTCATATTCATGCCGAAGACACCACTCATGTAGGTGGGAATTGATGCTTGAATTGTTGTAAAGCACCAAGCTTCAGCACAGCATGTACATAATAGGGCCCAAACAGCTGATGATCTTAGTAGAGCTCACCAGGGTGTTGGAATTGATTTCGATGTATTACTCTCAGCAGCACGTTTCTTGCTTAATGATGTGTTAATATAATTTCTCTCCTCGGGAGATATAAATTTTGACTTATTTGGTGTGTTCGAGGCAAATATTTCCCAGAAAAGACACCAAATTAATCCGAAGGCACATGAGGTATAAGAAATTCCTGGCCAGCCCATACTTGAGGTGGCTATAAGACCACTTACCAACATGCCCAGTAATGTGCCACATTCAATGCCCGAACTAACTATGGCACCCAAACGATTACGTTCCTCCACCGGTGACCATTTAGCAACGTGGGCATAGGCTGCAGTTATATCGAAGCCTTGAAACAGACCCTGCAGTACACGTACCGCACAAAATATTTGCCAATCACCCCATTTCACAGTGAAGGGTAATATAAGACCCGCCAGCGAGGAGCCCAGTGTTGCAGCAAATAATGTAACCTTGGTACCGAAACGTTTACATACATAGCCGGCAGGAAGCTGGGTCACCACATAACCCCAAAAGAAACTGGAAAGTATATAGGATTTTTCAGCTTCCGTCCAATTATATTGCTAAAATTAAGAAACTCTATAATAGGGATTATTGGAAATTATTTTTTTTCTTTATACATACCGGAAAATTAGGATTTGTGGTTGAGGCATTTGTCATTGCCACCAGTGATATACTGGCACTATATTTGGTCATATAATTTATGGCAATACCCAGAAATAACAAAACCGATTGAACATGCCTTTGTCCAAATGCTGGACCTATTGTTAGAATTTTAAGTTAATTACTAAAGACATTTAAATAAAATTAATGTTATACCTTTTAGACCAACAGCAGCCATTTTTATTTTCCAAAATTTATTTCACTTTGATCGATATAATATATAGTTTTTTTGGTAGCGACCATATGTTGTAATCTGTTACAGGTTAATATTGAATTTAAATTAGAAAAAATTGAAATGGAATATATTGATCTAAAAAATAAATATGTTATCTTCCGCCATAACAAGTGCCAGACTGTAGGTGTACTCAAGTCAAGAACTTCTAACATGGAACTTACGATAAGGATTTGTCTATTCCCTTGTTTACAAACGAGAGTTATTTTTATACCCTTCACCACACTGTGGTACAGGGTATTATGTCTTTGTGCATATGTTTGTAACAGGCATAAGGAATCAAGATAGACCCATGGTTCCTTTTGAGAATATGCATATAATCACTTTTTAAGTCGATTTATGCATGTCCGTCCGTCTGTCTGTCCGTGTTAAATTGTAAACAAAGTACAGGTCGCATTTATTATCCGAATTGGATGAAATTTGGCATACGTCACTTATTTGGCCTAAGGACCAACCCTATTGAAAATGGGAAAAATCGGTTCAGATTTAGATATAGCTCCCATATATATTTTCGTCCGATTTAAGGTAAATGGTGCTCCAAAGTCCCTATATATCTTTCGATTTGCACGAAATTTGGCACAGCGTACTTAATTAAGCCTAGAATGGTGTGTGCTAAGTTTCATAAAAATCGGTTCAGATTTTTATATAGCTCCCATATAAATTTTCGTCCGACTTTACCACTTTCCTTACTGGTTTTTTATTAAAAATGTAAACGGCAGACCGAACTTATTATACACTTCGCCATGAACTTTTGGAAAAACTTTTAAGTACTCGGATAAAAGCGGATATTACTATCGAAATCAGAAAAAAGGTTATACGAGGACTAATGGTAGCAAGCATTGATTATTTTGAGGTCATTTTCAACCACTTTTTTGGAACATATCATTTTCATATTACGGTTTGATCATTTTTATGAGATGACAGATAGTGAAGCGATCCATTTTCGTCAATGCCAGTCTTTCAATTGAAAAGAAAAAAAAATTCTTTAACAATATAGTTTGGAAGATGTCGAATTCTAGTTTCATACTTTTGGAATCACAAACATAGCATGCAACAACCCTAGCATGCACACAACTACCGACATTATATGGCATCCGATTAATAATTTAAATTGTTACAAACCGTATGACATATTTAATATAACCTGCATTTTATGGTAAAGCGAATAAAATGCTGTTTCATTTATTCACTTTCGTTTTAGATAAAATACCTTAGGTTATCTAATTTGTTTTAGTTTATTTACAAAAATGTTTTGTGTCACTACGACAAATCTCTTTAAAATAAAATATTGAAATACTGTTGATCAACAATGCGTCTCAGTGACAATTAAAACACGAAAATGTCAAAAATATGAAATATAATTCAATTAAAAATCTTCAAAGTACCAAATGTCGATCCTATATTACTACTACTAACCCACCCTAGTACGGGTTTCGAGGGTGTATGTGCTCCCTATATATAGAAAGTTAGCTCCCTCGCTAGGCTAGGCAGGGGCTGGTGTGAGAGGCCATGGAACGAACGATAACATTCAATGAAAAAAAAAACAGTAAGGAAAGTAGGAAGCTATGGCTGCATCTGCACCAATTTCAACAAAACCCAATAGCGTCATTCAAGTCTCAATTTGATACGTTATGCAAAATTTCGTGTTAATCGGACAAACATTAGGAGTTTGGTGCACTATTTACGGACGAAAATACATATGGTAGCTATATCTAAATCTGAACCGATTTTCACGAAACTTAGCACACATCATTGTAGGCTTAATTCAGTACGCTATGCCAAATTTCGTGCAAATCGAAAGATGTTTTGGGGCTTTGGTGCACCATTTAATTAAATGGGACGAAAGTATATATGGGAGCTATATCTAAATTTGAACCGATTTTTCCCAATTTCAATAGGCTTCGTCCTTGGGCCAAATAATTGAGCCGAGCCAAATTTCATCCAATTTCGACCTGTACTTTGTTTATAATTTAACACGGACAAACGGACGGACATGCATAAATCGACTTAAGGGGACACCCCCATTCTCGGGGTCAAAAAATTTGTTGATATAATTCGAATCTAAACTAATTAAAGAATGTCCCTACAAAATTTCAAATGAAAATCTCAAGAACTCTTGAAGATTTAGCCGATTTATTGTGTCAGCATCAAGTGACGGCTGAAGGGCTTCTAAAACTTTAAACGCGTTTTTCTCTAAACATTTTTTTGCGAATGGCGGGCACGATAACTCAAAAGCTAATAACCCAATCGATTTCAAATTTTTACACGTTTCTCTGTAAGTGTATAGCTCTCGTATGAACTTGGATAAAGCCAATCGGTGAAGATCTTCCTTACTTTTTAGTGAGGAGTTATCAAGCCCGCCATCAAAAATAAGGACGTTTCTTTAATTACAAAAAACAACAACAAAACAATAACAAAATTTTTTTGTAAATTATTTTTCTTCCTTTTTAAATCTTCAAATATATATGTGCATAGTTACAAACCTTAACAAGCATTGGTATTCATTTACCAGCCCATTTAAAATCTTAAAAATAAAAAGTCGAGAATGGTGGGGGGAGGGTTCCCATAAAAAGTGATTCTATGCATATTCTAAAAAAGGTACCATGTGTCTATCTCGTTTCCTTTTGCCTGTTACAAACATATGCGCAAAGACATAATACCCTGTACCACAGTGTGATGAAGGGTATACTTATTAAAAATTAAAAAAATTGACACTGTAAAGAGAGGTACCGGAAGGAGTAGACCGACGAGTTCCATCTTCCAACATATTCTAAGAACGGTAAAATACATTATGTTTTTGCAAAGTTTCAATGAATTCGGATATTCCGTTTGCTTCATATGTTGAAATTTTGAAAATGTTGACTCTTTGTGGTATTGGAAGAAGTGGAAGGATAAGTCCAATCTTTCAACAATATACGGTCATGGTTATAACATTAGGTTGTGCAAAGTTTAATTTTCATCAAAATGTTGACCATTTTATAGGGGTGGTACCAGAAGAAGTGGATCGATATCCTCCATCTTCGAACTTAATCTAAGTTTAGAATAAATATTACCATGTGCAAATTCTGAATGAAGTCTGTTATTCCCTTCGAGAGTTGTCATGCACAGACAGACGTATGGAAGGACGGATATTTGTAAATTGTCTGAAACGGATTTGATCCCAAAAAATATGGTGTCTTAATCCAATATTTCGATGAGGCACATCTTACCCTCATTAGCCATAACGCTGAGGGTATAAAATGTCGTTCATTATATCATAGATAAGGTTCCTAAAGACAAAGAATCGAAATTCGTATGTTTTCATTGTATATTTCCATTTTTACCCGATCCGTTTCATTTTCATTGGAAGATTCGACATTGATTGCAATGTCATAGCCAAACACTTATGATTCTTCACCAATAATAAACCCTTTTCAAGTACCATGGGTATTCGTTGATAATGTTGAACTTCTCCTGAGCGATGTCAAAAATTTAGCAATATTAGAATAATAATCGATGCTGATGTTTCGTGTCAAGTCTCTCTTTTAAAGATTCGACGATAAACCAAAATTATTTTCTTCACTTGATGAGGGGCTCGGGGGATCAGGTCATGCATCGTCATTGATTTCCTTAAACTGGTAATAACACAATTGAGCAATGTCCTGCTAGAAATTGGCTAGATTTTCCTTGAACTTAAATCAGATTCTTTTGTTCTTTTTTCGAATTGTAAACAATCGAAGGGCACACCAAAACACGACCAACCAGTTTCGTAAAGTCGAACATACGTAGCACAATACATTTGATGAGACCTCGGATTGTCTACAGCTCTACGTGGACTATGATTTTTTTTTCGATGTATGCTCTCGTTCGAAACTATAATCCTTAATAAAACCTTTGTGTGTATTTAATCAGTTAGAAATGTACTTTTAATTAAAAAATTCTTAAGAATACAAAATATTTACAATAACTTAGCATATCACAAGATTTAAATTTATAATCTAATATAAAAAAAATTGTATTATTTTCTAATATTTCTCTTTCTTTTCATCTGATTTTTTATCAACACAGTCTTCGTTTTGTATATCTTTCGATAAGAGGAAATTTTCATTGTCCCATGGCTGTAATTTAGTTGAGCCAAAGACAATGTAAAATAGGTTACCCAAGCCAAAGACAATGGCTGAAATTGCAAAGACAATTTGCCATTCGGTACGATCGTCCTAAAAACAAAACAAAAATTAATTATTTATATACATTGAAAAATAAACAATAATAACCTACCTCATTTTTGACTATCAAACCCACCAAGAGTGGCGTCAATATTGGTATAATATTAGCCGATGTATTCACAATACCCATTAGAATGCCAGCATGATTGGGCGACAAATCAATGGTATTCAGGGCACTGCCAATTGTGGAACCAGCATTAATGCCCACATTAGCTGTCATCAAGACAATAGCCAATGTCTGTTGACTTTCACCAACAAAACCCACAGCTATTAGACCAATGGCGGGAACCCAAAATGCCAATGAATTGAATGTCTTTCTAATCGCACTTAAAGTCAAGATCTTCTTTTGCAGCAACACATCCGATAGTATTAAATAAATATAAGACATACACCACATAGCGAAATATGGTAAAGCTGAAAATAATGCATTACTCTTCATATCCATGCCCAGGACACCATTCATATATGAGGGAATCTCAGCTTGCAAGGTTGAGAAACCCCATGATTGAGCAGACCTGGCCACCAACAAAGCCCAGAATGGCATTGAGGTCATAATTGCTGCCCATGGCACAGGTATTTTCTTGGGTGTCTCCCCTGCATTCACATCTTTCAATGGGTTTTTGGAATTTTCAATATAACTGCATTCAGCTTCTGATATAAATTTCGATTCACTTGGACTGTTGGCAGCTAATATAATCCACAAAATACACCATATGACACCAATTGCACATGAAATATACGAAATACCCGGCCAACCCATACTCGATGCCGCAATTATACCACTCAAAAACATTGAGAGAACAGTACCGCACTCAATTCCGGTATTTGCTAAAGCGCCTAAACGATTCCTTTCGCTCACCGGACACCAAGCAGCCAAATGGGCATGTATACTGGGAAATAGTAAACCTTGGAATAGACCTTGCACGACTCGAATGCCACAATAAACTTGCCAACCACCCCAATCCACGGTGAGGGGTATTAGCAAAGCCGCCAATGCTGAACCCAATGTTGATATAAACATTGTCAACTTGGCCCCAAAACGTCGACAAAAATAGCCACCGGGAAATTGTGTCACAAAATAACCCCAAAAGAAACTGGACAGAATGTAGGATTTTTCCATTTCATTCCAATCGTATTCCTGAAAATGAAAAATATATATAAATTTTGTAAGATCGTTAATTGAACTCATAATAAAAATTACAATAGAATCTTTTAGACAACTAATGGTTATCTTAGAAGAGATCTATTGAAAAATCCTTAGTCTAAAATATAGATGGCGCTAAACCCTCAGCTTAACACATAGATAGCGCTACTAAAATTGAATTTAATACTAATGATCAAAAATATGTCTTCTGAAAATATCGGTTCCATTTATCGCAGTGTGGTGAATGTTATAATTGCCGACAATTTGGTTAAAAAAGTGTAGATCTAAAAAATCAAAAAGCTGTTACTTGAATTGGCGAAAGAGTCCAATGGGTACCTACGCACTAATATCGGTAGGAAAGGAACACTCAAGCATTAATGCCCTTTTATATGTAGAGGACCTGTAGAGGATGTTTTCTATTAGTGGAATTCTTTGATCAATAGAAAATCGTCCAAGATTCTATATATTGAAGCATTTTATAGGTATCCTTTTTATTTGATATTTTGAATGACTTCTAACTATAAAATACCAATTGAAGATCTTGAAGAACTTGATGAAGGTTTCAATTTTCTGTCTATTATCTTTCCGTAAAAACCTGAAGAGAGTCTGCTATAGAAAACTTTTAGAAGGACTTCTGTGCAAAATTTACCATTTCTAAGCACAAACTTACTAATTACAGTTTGACGTACGACAATGTATTGTTTACTTGTTTTGGCTTGGATTGTGTTTTTAATTACTTCCACATACACCGCATTCGATTCTGGTCAAATAAGAACCCTATTATGGTAATTATCCGTTTATATTTAGGGGGTGAAATGGGCCTAAAACTTTATTTTTGTCTGCTTTCTGGTCGATCCAGAGGCGACAGTTAAGAATGTAATATGACCAAACAATAAGCATGACCGTTTCAATGAAGAAGGTTAATATTTTGTGTAAAAAATTGCCAAATTTGTATTATGGGGCGTATATATTTATACGAGATGATATTTTGGGGGATGCAATGAACCTTTGGATCCATTATTATATGCAGAAAATCATAATCTGGCAAAACCCTTAAAATGGCTCAATATTCCGAGGGTCAAATCCATCAAAACCTAATGTGACAAAATTTTTATTTTATGTCGATCTCGGGAAAGCAAGTTTTGGAAAATATATCAAGGTTAGAGTGTGGAGCTGTTGACCTATAATGGTCAAAAGGGTTAAATAGTGCGAAATATTGCCCAGGCTCAGAATATACAAAATCAGAATGTTAAATTTTAGTAGTAGTTGTCTCTAGAACACCTTCTTCGTCTATACTTACCGGAAAATCTGGGTTTGTTGTTTCGGCATTTGTCATGGCAACCACTGCTACACCAGCATTGAATTTGGCAATATAATTTACGGTAATGGACAGAAACAGCAAAAACACCTGCAGATGTCGTTGGCCCAAAACGGGTCCTGTTTAAGGAAAACCAAAAAAAAAATAAATTACAATTTGTGAATAAAACTTCGAACATATTGCAATAAGTGCTACCGATGTAGCATATTATACGCTTGAGTTGTTTATATAAGCAACTGACGCCAAACATTTTATAAAATACGGATGATGAAAATTTGATTATTCAATATATTAACTCGAAGTCATTATATATCGTAATATCTTAAATGGCGCCCAACGCCTAACAAAATTATAGAAATGAATAATATTCGCAATGGTAGTCTACATGTTTTATTCAATATAAAATACGTTTGTGTTGGTCCAATGTTATTCTATCTATTGAGATAGTTCTTATCGGCTGCGAAACCTCGCTTATTTTAACTTTTGAAAATATAAAAGGCCAATTGAAGGTCTTTTAAATATCTGCCCATAAAATACATTCGTCAGATTATATGCTGGAATTGTTTATTTAGGCAAATGACGCCCAGCATTTTATATATTAACTCGAAGTCATTATATATCGAAAATCTTAAACGGCGCCCAAAGCTCAACAGAATAATAGGAAGGAAAATATTCCCAATGAAAATTTCCATGTTTTATTCCATGTAAAGTAAACTTGCATTGGCTAAAGACTTTGTTCTTATTTATATTGTGATAGGTGGCCCCAAGGTGAATGTCTCCTTCAATAACTGTTCTTCAGAAAAGACAACATATTTTGTAACTTGAAATTCCAATTAAATGGAATTATTTAAAAAAATTTCGTATTTTGAAATTACGAGAGAAAAATCACAACATTTTAGATAGAATCCATAAATTTCAAAACATACTACATCGCTACCACTACTAGTAGTTTGGAAACTAGTATATATCTGCCTACGTTTTGGTGTGGCCCTCATATAACTGTACCACTCATTTTCGAGATTCTAAAGTGAATATTCGCACTTCCTACTAGCTGCTCTTAGAAGGTGAAAAACATATTTGCAGAAAATGTTCAATGCAGGTCAATGTGTTGACCTTGTCCGCATATAAAGCTTCCGCCCTTTTTTCCGCTTTGGTATTTAGATGATCTTAACAAACATTAGAGACTGGAAGTTGGTATTTCGTTTTCTCGGATTATAACTCATTGTAGACAAATGTGATCGATTTTAAATATGGAATGCATAAAAATTTCGATCTCATCGAACTAAAAAAGTATTACTTATTATATTTTCAGAATTTTAGTTTTTAATCACGAGGATATTATATAAAATTTCACAAAACATGTTTTGAATTTGATTATTTTTTAAGTGACTGTGATAATATTTGTATTGCATTTTTAATGTTATATAAAATAGCTTTCTCACACAACATTGTTTAATTAATAACAACTATAATTTAAATTTAAGATTTTTTATTTGTTGTTTTGTTATTAATTCTTAATTTATTATTTTTTGTCTTCTTTTGTTTGGAAATTAATTATTATCCTTTTTATATCACTTCCACTTTGTTAATTTTTTTCTTTCAATTTCATTACCCTTTGGTATTTCGGCTGTCATTTTTGATTCAATTTAATTATTTTTCTGTATAAAATATCCTTCACTTTTCTGCAGCCGTTCGTTCCACTACCGCCAAAGTGGACGTTCGTTTAACGACTCAATTATGTCATCTAAAATCCGCGAAAATGAAAACTTTGCCCCTGTTTCGACACCGCACAGTAGAGTTAGTTAATCATATTATCATAAACAAATATAAATCAAAGTCAATAAGAATCGAAAACAACGATAATCGATGATAACAGAAACTACAGCAGTAATCGCGCTGGCTCGGCTAGATAGGGAGAATATTTGCAAATAATCCGCCAAAGGAAATTCAACACGAACAAAACAAAAAAATAATATTTGATTTAAAAAGTGGATGTTTGATAGTACCCTACACAATGCAGTGATTTCTAGTGGGTTATTTGTAATCAAATGTTGATAAAGATGTTTAAAATTAGTATCTATTCGTATGTGTTGAGCTTATTTTTGGGTAACAGAAGTGTGGGAAAATGTGTATATTAAATAAAACCGAAAACATGGGATTTGAACACTCCACAGCATCTTTTGATGACGAACATAGTGGTTCGCATTTTTCTTTATGTTCGGGAATAGAAGGATATTTTTCTATCCGTGGAAATCTGCGATAAACAGAAAATCGTCCGATTCTTTTATCTAATAAAGGCCGTAACTTTCACGGAAAGTCGTTCATTTAAAACTATGACGGACTTCTAGCTATAATAAGTCAATTGAAGGTCTTCAATGTATTGATAACTTGAGAATCAATTATATATGTGTCCATAAAATAAAGGTTCTTTCTATAGAAGAACGGTCAATTAATATAAAAAATCTGAAGAGGGTCTGCAATAGAAATCTTGCGGAAGGACTTCTGTATCCGGTAGGCATAGATGATCTGTTATTTTACTCCATAGTAATATTTCACTGGAAATTTTTACATTTTTTAGCATAAACGTACTAATTTGACGTACGACCATGTGTTGAGTTGTTTACAGTGACTTGGACTTAGATCTCAGAAGAAGGAAGTAAATATTGTCGAATGAAGTAGTTATCGCCCAAATCGATATATGGGGCTATGTCAAAGTTTTCCAAGTCAGAGCTGTACGTCGAATAACTTTTAAATCCACTGTGTTGGGCGGCCAAAGAAGCACTGATTGGAACCGATGCGAGAAGATTTGGGGCAAACAAATTGTGTTATAACACTCAGAATTGATCGCCTCACGGTAATCAAGCGGGACAGTAGCCACATGACCGGTTTTTCCTAAGAAACATTTCATTTGAAGTCCTTTTTGTTGGATTTGGGTTATATTCGAAGGCCCACACCCTGGATTTCTGTATTGTTTCATGTTCATACATATATGTACATTATTTGTCATCTGGAAAGTCTGTTTAACTGTATTTTGAAGCACCGTTATCATCCTATGTATATATTCTTGATCAGTGGGCTTTAGTCATGTCCGTCTGTCCGCCGGCACTTATTTTGCACTTTATTAACAGAGCACGCATTTTGATACTTGCGTTAGCTGTTAAATGTTTTTATGAATTTTTAATATAAATGTATCCTTTGTAAACTCTAAATGGTGTAGAATAACATAATAAATATAAAATAATATAATAAAACACAATGTCTGGCACAAATTTCTTACTATATGCTTTTTTGGACTCTGGCCCTTTAAGAAAATTTATTGGTTTTCCCATAACTAAACGTGTTGTGGCAATATAAAAACCTTCAGACACAGGTCTTGATAAGACTATCAAATAAATCCCTCCTGACGTCATCAAAAATCCCAAGGGAATGTGGCTAATCCAATAATGATAATAAAAACACCTGTAAAAAAGATTTCATACTGTCTTCACAAAACATTTTACGTTTCTCTGTATTTTGTCCTAAGGATTAGATTCTTTTCGCTTTACTGCAATTATCAACACAAGTCGAACAATTTTATTGATTTTTAATAACACCCAATGGCTTATAAATCAATGCAATCTAAATATGTTATTATCGCATCGAAGATGAAACGTCATTTGGACAATAATCTTATCACGATATTTGACCACCCTAAACATATGCGCTAGGCACTTCACTGTGGTGTTGTGTTTAATTAGCAGTTCATAGTTGAAACACACTCGAATGTACATACACCTACGTACTTCAATTTGATGTTAAACCACTCATAAATTTTCCAAATTGCTTGGCCAAATAATTTATTAAAAACATACAAAAAATAAATAACTATGTTTATGTGTTTTGTTTAGTTAGATAATCTGTCAAGTGTGGGAATCGAAATTTTGAAGATAGTTTTAAGATAATCAATATTTTTAAATGTTTGTTTATTTTGAAAATATTAATACAAAATAGGTCATTTGAAGACATACATGGAAAGTACGAAGAAGTTACAGTGAGATGACATGTCCACTAGTCTCGCTCCGTCGTCATACTGCCATCATGGGCTTCTTTAGTAGAGCGTATGGCTACAAGCACACAGCCATTGAGCAGCAATTGATGTGAGTAACCCTTTCTAGAGAGGAATGGAGTCTGAACATTAATACAATGCCTTGCTCAGCAAAGAGGCTGATTAGATTGTAGAGGAAGTGAGCAAAGAGCTCACAACAAAAAAGAAGCAGTATCTGAGGCACAACGGCGATGAACCGGAGAAATAATCGCGAACAGCATACTGATGCTCAGAAGGATAAGACCTACCATCCCTACACTTTTTCGGAAGAGGATGGCATGTCTGACTAAGGGAAAGGTGTCCTTCGTGCCAAACGCTGTCTACTTCAACAACGGAAAACCCAGAATTGAAGAGAAGGATACCACAGAAAAATAGCGGGGGAGAAATACCCAACAACATAAGTGAATAGTTATCGACGCCTAAGAGGCTGGTCTACTGGAAGGCAATTGATAGGTGTCATCTAGAGGGTAAATACAAGGTCTCTGGATAAAACCAGATCAATTACCAACTTTTTAATGTAAAAACAGTTTTCCGACCGAGAGCCTGTATAATATGCCACAAAACCATGTGCTTTCTCTTCTCCCCAGAGGTGTTTACATCGGTCGCAGCTAAATTGAAGCCGGGAATGGCAATATTTACCTAGCTAACCCTTCTAGACCATATAAATATTAAGGTCCTAATAACCAAATAAACCAATATAATAGAAGTAGAGGGAATATATTAGATATAACAATATGTTCAGCGAACATAATAGTCGTTGTCCAGGATTGGAGAGTCTAACAAGCGTACTTCTTCTCTGACAACAAATATTTTTTTTTTGGCTAAAATATAGTACTGGCTACAATCGAACCCTCAATCAATAGTTAGTAGGATAGTCAAAATCAAATCATGGGATAGCATAGCACCAGAATAAATGCACTCTGTCAACTGTTACTACACAGATGGCTAACAGCACCCGTCGTCTTTTTATTGAAGAATCGGGACGGAGATTTGAATTACCCTGTCAGATCACAATAATATCCTACGATCCTGAAGGAGGAGCCTGACCTTCCCTCCACTTCCTCGGAGGATGGTAAATCTGACACTACATCCTGGTAGTCGGGGGTTTGAATATCTCTCCGCCGAATTGGTTAATATTTTGTATTCTATCAATGTCGGTATATATTTAGTTATAGTTCTTGTATAAACTCTATACGAATTTAAGGTAGTTTGAGAATTTAAGATGTAAAATTCCCGGTCTAGTTTAGACATTTTGAATGTTCACTTCATTGTGGAGGTAATATTGTATTTACTTGAATTTTCACAAATCCAATAAGTCCTATTACTAACATATACAGAATTTCAAGATTCTACCCTTATCGTCTGGGCTTTGATTACTACTACACAAATCGAATTTCATCCAATAAATAGAATTGAATGAAATTTGGCACAGCTCATTTATTTGCCCCATGGACGAACCCTATTGAAATTGGGAAAAATCGGTTCAGATTTAGATATAGCTCCCATATATATTCTCGTCCGCTTTAAGGTGAATAGTGCGCCTAAGTCCCTAAATATCTTTCGATTTGCACGAAATTTGGCACATTGTACTGAATTAAGCCTAGACTGATGTGTGCAAAGTTTCGTGATAATCAGTTCAGATTTAGATATAGCTCCCATATGCATTTCCGTCTGATTTAATGTAAATGGTGTACCAAAGTTCCTATATTCCTTTCGATTTAGCATAGCGTACTGAATTATGTCTAGAACGATGTGTGTTAAATTTCGTGAAAATCGGTTCTGATTTAGATATAGCTCCAGTGCACCAAAGTCCCTATACGAAATTTGGCATAGCGTACTGAATTGAGTCTAGAATGATGTAAATAGCATACCAAAGACCCAAAGCTTTTCCGATGAGCAAAAATTTTGTACAATGTTCTGAAATTAATAAAAATTAATCTCTGGCAAGTTTCATTGAAATCGGTCCAGTTTTAGATATATCTCCGACATATATATTTTCGACAGATTTTAGGTAAATGGTGCACCGAACTCCTAATATTTGTCCGATTGACACGAAATTCAAATTGAGACTGGAATTACGTTATTGCATTTTTTCTTGAAATAGGTGCATATATATTTTCCATATATATTTCGAACGGGTGTCTGATTAAGATTAAATTTTGAACAGTGCGACATACCGAATACCGTGAATCAAGTGGGCTATAAATCGCTTTGCATATATTTGTCCCATTGTACACAAACGATTCTAAATCTGCCCGAATGAAATTAAATTTAGCATAGGTTGCAGAAAGGCATGTATATGATGTTAGTAGGTTCACTTATGTTAGGATACATATCGCTCATTTGCTACAAGACATTTGCTGCAAGGCATAACTCAAAAGACATGATTTTGCAGAAAATGCGTTTTAAGTTTTCAATTTACTCACACTTTATATGGGATAGAGGAACATCTACAGCTTCTCAATTAGAGTGTGTAAGAGATATTGATATGCATTTTTTACACAACATGAGGTCTATTATATCGAACAATCGTGCTTCATTAACTCGAATATCACGTTGTTTTAGTTATGCCTCGCTTACACCAAATGAGCGATATGTAGAATATATCCAAAGTGGTGAAGAGTATCATATAGTCGGCCCAGTCCGACTTTACTACTTTCCTTTCTGTTTTTTATACCCTACACAACTATGTTGTCAGGGTATTATAGCTTTGTGCAGCCCCAAAAGTTTGTAACGCCGCGAAATATTGGTCCTAGACCCACCTTTAAGTATACCGATCGTCATATCTCGACTAGCTGAGTCGATCTAGACATGTGTGTCCGCCCGTCCGTCCGTCTGTCCATTATAATTTGTAAACACGATACAGGCCACAACTATGGACCAATCTTCACGAAATTTTGCATGTAGGATGGGTTCTGGCCAATGAAGACCCCTATTGTTTTTGGGAAAGATCGGTTAATATTTAGGGGATGAAATGGACCAAATACTACATTTTTGTCGGTTTTTCTGGTCGCTCCAGAGGCCGCAATAATGGCCCGAACATCGTGAAATTTTCCATGGAGAAGGGGATTGGGTCAAAGAATAAGCATGCCTGTTTTCATAAAGATCGGTCAATATTTAGCGGGTCAAATGGACCCTGACTTTTGTGTGAAAAATGGCAAAATTTTTACTCTATAGCGTATATATTTACCCCTGAGGGACATAGGCCCGAGAAGATTATATTATATACAAGAGGAGTGGTTGACCTTTAAATTAATACCAATTATATTGTTGTATGTGCTCGGATGTGGGAGTTACACCTAAATATCTACAGGTATCTCCGTATTCGTATATTATTTAGTAACCCATTATCACTCTAGAGAGCGGAACTATAGCGCTGGCCGCTTTTAAATGTTCCATGAGGTTCCAGTTATGGTCAAGGACAACGCCTATAATTTTCGGTGAGGATCAGATATTAATTTTGGAATGAAGTGGACCGAAAACTACATTTTTATTTTCGTTATTTTCGAGTCGATCTAAAGACCACAAATGAGAGCCAAACATCACAACACAGCCCACGGTAAAGGGAATCTGGACAATAGCTGTACTGAATACTCGTAATATTCGGAAAATATGTCAGTGTGGGGAAGAGGTGCTGTTTACCTCTAATCGGGCAAGAGGGTGCAAATATCACGAAATATTGCCCAGGCTCAGAATAAACATCCGCAGAAAGTTTGAGTTCCGTGGTAGTTGTGTAGGGTATCGTATGGTCGGCCCCGTCCGACTATACTGCTCCGCTCACTGTTTTTTTTTGTAAATTGTTTAAAGTTTCTCTTTATTCAATTCCATTTTTAACACCCTGTAACTTTACAACTGAATGCACCATACAAAAGACAGCAAAATTATTTTTTTTTTTTATTTCGAGAATAAATCTGAAATAGTTTGATCGATACTTTACGAGAAATCTATCAGTACAGCCATCTGCCTAAAAATAATGGATTTATTTCCCCCCAACTATCAGCCCATGCGTCTGAGCATTGATAACCATTTTTGTAACTTTCGTATCATTTTGCACGAACTTTCACAAACTAGGCCTACGCCCCAATATTCTATATACACCTGTTTCGTCTGGTCTATTACTAACCCCCATACCAAATTTAAAGGTTCTATATTCACCACTTTCATCTGGCTGTTGGTTATTGGAATTATTAATTTCTTTACCTTTTAGTGCACTCCGTACCTTTATAGTAAAATTTTCAAAAACACCGCCATATCATCATACTTTAATTCTCTATATATAAATACATTTTAAATTATAATTCTGTTTCAAAACGAATTGTTATGAAATAACATGTTACCATACATTGTATCCCACTCTTGTCCTAAATATCAAATTTCAAATAAATTCCAATCCATTTACTTTATTTTATTTGTCTTTCTTAAATAAATATAATATGTTTTTTGTTCTTAATTATTTATAGTTACATAAATTAAAGAAATATATATGTTCCAAATTATAAATAAATAAATTCGTTGTGAATTTTGTTTATATCTTAAATTTTGAAATATTTTAAAGTAATTTTTAATATTTTCTTTTTTCAAAAGAAGGCACTTAATTATTATTTGAGGTGTGCTTAAAAGTTGCCACATTTTTTTCATTCAATTCTTTGATAAGGCACTTGATTTGAGAATAAAACCTTAAAGAAACCATGACAGATATACATATATATGTGCACTTAACTATTATCGTTTTCTTACTGACTAAACATTTGACACTACAATTTGTTTTAATCTTAAACATAATACTTATTTGTATATATGTATAATTAAAATTCATTAATTCAGTATTTAATGACAAAATTATTAGGCAACAATACAAGGTGCTGTTTAAGACGAACATTTATATTAAAAAATAAAAATAAAATGTGACTGTATGGATATGTGAATATGTGACTGTAAACTTTTTTGATGCACGTTAACGACTTTCATCTTCTTCCTCTTGCAAACGCAAAATATCAGCTTTGTTCATAAAATAATAACTCGGTTGGCGTCCCTTCAAATCTTTATTTGTACGCTTTGCTCCGTTTTGTATCAGTATTCGACTAATGCTTTCGACCAAATTTGTACCCATGGCATAGTGTAGGGGTGAACGTTCCAACTGTTTGAGAAGAGTTCAAAAAAAAATTATTACATCGAGGAAATTCAAGAAATATTGTAAAATACGGTATGCTTACATTATCACCAATCTTTAAAGCCTCCGGACAGATTTTGACGAAATGTTCCACCAGCTCTTCGTCTTCTTTTAATATGGCTATATGCAGGGCAGTTCTTCCTGTTGTAAAGAAAATTAAGGGAATAGTTTATAATTGAAACAAAATAAGAAAGTGTACATCAGAAACAAAAGAAACCCAGTGAGCGGAACAGTATAGTCGGACGGGGCCGACCATACGATACCCTACACAACTACCACAACTATTTCGAGATAGTTGCACCCTCTTGCCCGATTAGAGGTCAATAGCACCTCTTCCATACACTGACATATTTTCCGAATATTACTAATGTTCAGTACAACCCTTCTAATTACTTATCCAGATTCCCTTCACCGTGGGTTATGTTGTGATGTTCGGCTTATAATTGTAGAATAAAAAAAAAAGAAAATAAAATAAGTTTTCGGTCCACTTCATCCAAAAATTATTATCTGATCATCAACGAAAATTATAGGCGTTGTCCTTGACCATAACAGGAACCTCATGGAAGATTTCAAATCGATCCGCCATATATTTCTAGTGTGGTAATGGTTTATTAAATAATATCTGAATACGTAAGCACCTGTAAATATTTACGTGTAATTCCCACATCAGAGCACATACATCCACATAATTGGTATCAATTTGAAGCTCAACCACTCCTCTTGGATATACTATCAACTTCTCGGGTCTAGGACCTTCAGGTGCAAACATATACCCCATAGAATACAAATTTTATAATTTTTCACACAAAAGTCAGGGTCCATTTGACCCGCTAAATATTGACCGATCTTTATCAAAAAAGGCATGCTTATTCTTTGGCCCAATCCCCTTCTCCATGTAAAAATTCGAGATGTTTTAGGCATAAAAAAACCGACAAAAATTAAGTATTTGGTCCATTTTATCCCCTAAATATTAACCGATCTTTACAAAAAACAATAGGGGTCTTCATTGGGCCGAAACCTTCCTACATACAAAATTTCGTGAAGATTGGCCCATAACTGTGGCAAATTATAATGGACAGACGGACGGACGGACACACATGTCTAGATCGACTCAGCTAGTCGAGATATGAGGATCCGTATACTTAAAGGTGGGTCTTAGACAAATATTTCGCGGCGTTACAAACTCTTGGGGCTGCACAAAGCTATAATACCCTGACAACATAGTTGTGTAGGGTATAAAAATCAAATCCATGAGCGAAATTCTATTGAAACTTTTCTTTAAAATCCACTCGTGACAAGTCCACAAATTCTTCAAAACCTTTCTTTAAAAATAGGTCCATACATTCTTTTGAAAACTTTCTTTACAAATCGACTCCTAATAGGTCCATAAATTCTTCTGAAACATTTATTCACGAATACACAAGATTTCTACGGTCTATCAAATGAATTTTAGTCGATAGAAATGTGCACGGATGCCTCAATTTCGCATCAATGTACTGTGACACAACTGCCGTTTTTTATAACCTTCACCACACTGTGGTGCAGGGTATTATGTCATTGTGCATATCTATGTAACAGGCAAAAGGAAACGGAATGGACACAGGGTTCCTTTTGAGAATATGCATAGAATCACTTTCGGAGTTGATTTATGCATGCCCGTCTCACCGTCCGTCCGACCATGTATTTTTGTGGACAAAGTACAGGTCGCATTCATGATCCGATTTGGATGAAATTTGACACAGGTCACTTTTTTGGTCCAAGGACGAACTGTATTGAAATGGGAGAAAATCGGCTCAGATAAAGCTCCCATATATACTTCCGTCCGATTTTATGTAAATGGTAGACTAAACTCCCAATATGGGTCCGACTGTGTCAACATTTTGCACAGAGTACTGAATTAGGTACTGATAGATGCATGCGAAGTTTTGTTGAAATCGGTTCAGATTTACATATAGCTCCCATATATAGTTTCGTCCGATTTTATGTAAATGGATCACTATACTACCAACATTTGTTCGATTGAGGCAAAATTTTGAATAGCGTATTGATGTTCGAGAAGTTTTGTTGAAATCGGTTCGGATTTAGATATAGCCCCCATATATATTTTCGTCCGTTTTAATGTAAATGGTGACGTTGTTGCGTTGTGGCAGATACAGACCTAGCTTATATATACTTCGAACTGTTGCTTTAAATAGATTTACATAAATTTGTCCCATTGTGCGCAAACAACTCCAAATCTGCCCGAATGAAATGAAATTTAACATTGATTGCAGGATGGCATATGTTCGGATAGATGTTAGTCGGTCCAGTCCGACTTTACTACTTTCCTTACTGAATTTTTTTAACGAACTTATCCAGGGTTAATCCTTGCCCAGATCTTGTTTGCTGCCTAAGATTTTTGGTCCATTAACCTAACATCACCTAGTACGGTGGATTTCGTCTACACCCAAACTTAATACAACATAGTGGGTATAAATCTGAATCTTGTAGAATAGTAGATTTTTTACTTCCGAATCCAGCTGTAAAGTATTCTTACCATAATAATTTCTAGCCATTAATAACCATTTGCCTTCTGGTCCAGCCACAATTTCTTTAACTCGATCCACTTTATGATCACGAATCATTTGATGAAGTTCTTCGCGCATTTCCTATGGGATAATAAGAAATTATTAAATAAAACATTATCGATTAAAAATGTAAACCATTTTTTTTCTTGCATTCCTTTTCTATGACAAAAATAATTAAATCGAAATCCCTTACCTCCATAGGGCGTATTGTAGGCAAGTAAGTTGCCAATTCCGTGTGACCCTTCGACTCGGCTACTTCAATAATTGTCTTGTCATCATCCATAACGTCAATGATGTGATCATATCCGGCAATGGCAAAATACTCGAAGGGTTTTACATCACCTAATCACAGAAACAATAAACCATAAAAACCTCATTAGAAAAATACATATTCCACAACCAATCCCTTTCAAATTCCTACCAACAACTGCCAACGATATCAAATAACGGTCAATATCCTTGGCGTTGACAACTTGATTCGCCTGCAATGCAACATCTCGAGCCGTTCGATACAACTCATCACGATATGTTATATCGACTTTCGATTCCTCAATTAATTGTAGCAGACCACCACGACGATGTGATCGAGCACTGGCAAAATGTAACATACTCTGGCCATGTTCATCTCGTTCTTCTAGACGTTTGGATAATGCAGCTTCAGCTTCATCAGTATCATCATCGTCAAGTTGTTGTTCGGTTTCTATATCCTCTGATTTATCGTGCGTCACGTGACCATTCATTCGCGATGTTGGAATAATTTGTTTTTCTTCGGGGGAATCATTTTCTGAATTGGCCGCCAAGGCTGTTGAATCGGTGTGACTACTGCCTGAATGGATAGCCGCCTGTACTACTGTGCGTCCGTTTGTATTACGCTGTGCCACAAATGTTTGCAGGTAATTTGTCAAATATTGTAGGGGATCTTGTGGGCGTTTTTGTGCAACTTGTGTTAAAGCTTTGATCAAGGGATCTGCTAGGTCTGTTGAGGAAATCGAGATTAAAAAATTAGAATTTTTAAATATTTACCGATTCGGTTGTATATGTGCCGGGTAAACTCATAAAAACTATTATACCAATAACATTTGATATATTTTTTACTCACTTTCTGCTAAATATTTGCCTTGCTCTGTTTTAAATATGGGATTTTCTTCACAGCTGTGATTTTCTATTTTACCTAAAATAAGAGAAGACATTTAATAAAAATTATCAAAAAATGGGGTTTCATAATATCTTTAACACTACAAATTAATGCAACTAATAAAGCATTAAGAAGCTGATAATCCTACAAAAACATAGTTTAATGTGTATACTGGATTTAGTTATTATTTTTAATAAAAAAAAATGGAAAATACTAACAGATTGTAATTGAAGTCCCCCTTTTTTAACATCTATTTTGATCGCCTATAATTTTTATGGCAAATTCAGTATTTTTTGTTAAATTTTTTAAAAAGGAAATATTTGAAGTTTTTTTTTCTAAAATAACGGTACCAGACACTTGCAGGTTATATGAAAGTTTATACCTATCTGGTTTCCAGTAACCATATCCTTCATACTATCCTACGCCTGAGTGTAGTAGGATAGTATGAATTTATTTCTTATAGAAATTGATATCCAAAATTGGGATTCATATAAAGGGTGTCCCAACTAGAACACAATTTTAAAGTTGGCTCCATTCGAAGTGTGATTATTTGAAATATTGTTATTTTTTGCTAATACGAAGTTAGGTTAAATGGCTATGGACAGCGAATAGAGTTGATTAATTGGGTATTGCAGAGATAACATGAAAATGCTTATTTTGCCGATAAAATCCGATCCGATTTTGCCGATCTTCAGTGACGATGGATTTTTTATAGATTCAACAAGATGACGTCACATATCATAGAGTTAGAGATCTCCCAATTTGAATATGAGAATACATTCTGGTTGGCTGCTATCAGAAAAGACCTTCTGGTTTTCTATAGATGAAGACTATCTGGCCTTCTAATTCTTATGGAATCTTTTACATAAAATGGGACGAAAATATATATAAAAGCTATATAAAAATCTGAGCGGATTTAAAAACAAATAATGTCGTTGTTTTTAATCGACCGAACTTTTTATATCATTCAGAATTTCTTAAAACGTTCGGGACCTTCATATGAGGAGTATATTATTGCATTATATGGTAGCAGGTTGTTCGTCATTTGAAGGTTAAGAACTCCATTTGCAAAAATTTAAACGGTGCATTCGTATGAGACGAAACATTTGTATACTGAATAATTTCTGGAAAGAAGTCGTTTATTCACCAGGAATTCAATATGCCATCACGTCGATAAGAACTCGCGTCTCAAACCTTCAAAATACCTACAATGGGGGCCTAGCCTTTTGTCAAAGCATGGACCTATATCGATTGACTTTCTGTAGATATATATCAGCCTTTATACCAAACTCCAGCCACATCGGTGGAAAATATTAGATTGCAACTATACTAAAACTTAAACAGATATTAATCGTTTTAAAATCGTGCCCAAATCCTCCAAAATACGGAATAATGAGGAGGGCCAACCGTAAACTTGTGTCAATATTTATAATTTTGGGTTCTCCTCAGGGAGAACCCAAATATAAATTTGGTTATTACTTATACCAAAAGAAACTAAAATTTGGGAAGCGGAGTAATACGGGGGCTTCCCTAAAAATCGACCAATATTGTAAATTTTTATTATATATTCCAAGTAAGAACCCAAAATACAAAACTACAGTTGGTAAGGTTAAAAATGTGCCCGAAGCTTCAAAATGCCATATATTGAAGAGTACCGTTATATGCCGTCTACCCTAAAAAATTGACCGGTCATTGTCAATACTAAACATCTTAGGTGTTCTTGCAATCTATGTGCAAAATTTCAAAGCTCTATCTTAAACATTGCTATAACGAGCGACAGATAGTCTTTATGGGGTCTAAGATGAATATTTAGAGGTGTTACAAATGGAATGACAAATTTAATAGCTCACCACCTTGTGATAGAAAGTCTAAAAAATTGACATACTTAATATAAAGTTCTATACAACACTGAACACCAAAAGATATGGAAAGACGGTCGGACATACTTAATATTTTCGAAAAAGTGATTCCGTAAGTATCCTCAAAATTAACAAGAGATTATTTTTATAAAATAAATAAGACAAAATAAATATTATAGACGAAGGTCGTTTATCTGGTCAGGTCGCCTGTAGAAAGACCTGCAGGATTACTATAGACTAGAACCTCCGCTCTTGTTATTTAATCATGTATTCTATAGTACAAGACTACTCGGATACCAATGATAATTTATGGAGCCTATTTTATCAACCGTAACATCTCCACTCCGAATTATACGTTGTTTTTGGTCAAAATTTTATGTTTACCATTTAAAATCCATATTTTGACCGATCATAACGACGAAATATTAGACATTGATACATACGGTTTATACGATGCTTAATTCTGGAAGCATCGTATAAGTGTAATCCTGATCCGGACACGTACACATGATTTCATTTCAGGAGAGTCCACTAGATCAATTTAAAAAATTTTCATTGCAAACTTTTTGTATGAAAAAAATAATAATGTTAGAGTGGACCCTGGGTACCCAGCTTCCCCTCCCTAGGAATATTTCGCCCCCTTCCTCATATCATATTATATATTTTGGGAACAATATTAGATGTAAAGTACGAAAATTAAAAAAAAAACCCTTTGAATTTATAGTGGAAATATTAACGGCAGGAGTATTTTGCCAACTTGTAAACACATTTTTTCCCAAATATTGTTTTTTATGATTGAAGCATGGGTACACTCACTAAGTATTTTTTTTATCGGTTTATAATATTAATTCCTAATTATATATATTCGTAGCTATGGTATGAGCTAGGGTAAATCAAACTTTTCTCAGATCCTACAAAGGAAAAAGGATTTATATTCAAAAACAAGTAAAGTAAGGTAATTTCATTAATGTGCATTTTGAAAATATATGTACGGACAGTAGGAAATAAAAATTATCTACATCAGTATGTAAAAGCAACTCAATAGAAAATCTTTTAGACAAGACATGAAACTAAAAAAAACGAAACTAACATCAAATATTTAAAAGAAGAAATTGAAAAATGAAACTTACGAATCCATATGAAATTTTTGTAGGTTTTGTGGTTTTTGCTTTTGTTGACAACAAAAAAATCAGGAACAAAAAGCAGGGAGATAATAGAGGACACAGTTTTTTCTTTGTTTTGTTTTTCTTTTCATTTAATTGTATAATACAGTTTTCTTTTTTGAGTGATGGGTTTATTTTAGTTGTATTTACACATCTCTTTTTTATTTTGGCTTCAGAGTTAGTGTGGGGATGGGTTTGTTTAAGCAAATTTTTTTGGGAATTGGGGAGAGTAGGTGGTCATCACATCAAATCAATTGGCATTTAGTGGCGATCAGCTAAACTATTTTTCTTACGACGAAATATTTTCACCAACATTGAGGCAATGTGTTTGGAATTTGTCAGCGACATATCCTTTTCCAGCGACAGTATGTTCGTTACAGCCGTACAAAAATCCTGGAAGAGTATGTGTTCCACCGAACCCATAGACTGCATATTAATCAGGCGTACACTCAATTTCGATTGACGATTGGTGGTGAGGGCCAGCCCTCGTACGGAGCATAGATGACGTAAATTGTCCATTTCTTTCATGAGATTTGGCAAACGGACAATTGTGGTCATTTTTAGGCCGGTGCCCAAATAGGATGGTCGAGATTGTAAATAGCCGAGTAGATAGCTTTCTTTGAAGTGCAACTGCTGTTCGAGAAATGAAATACATCGCCCTACTCGGGTATAGACCGAACCAATATCGTCTGCATCTTTGGAGGTTGTGGTGGAAATTATGCGCAAATGTTCTTGACAATTTAACCACAAGGCCATATTGTTGGAGGCACTGACATAGACACCACGACCATATGGCCACAGGGAACCATTAAAGGCAATCGATTCCGCTTGCTGAACTTCATCTTTTTGATCGAGCAGAGGTATAAGAAGTCCATGTGAGTTGAGCATATCGTAAACCTCGGAATTATCTTCAAGGACCTCTGTTAGGGTATAATAACTACCCGGTTCCTCTTCATCAATGGCCTCTATAAACTCAGTGGTAAATATTTTAGCCATCATCAGACGTTCCGCCTGTTCAATTTGCCCAATGGTCAAGTTCAGTGGTAGCTCAAAGGTATCTAAATTTCTAGAACATTCAACCAGACAACGTACTACCAAATTGGAATCATCTTCAAATACGAAATAGGCTGTGTTCAGACGTTCACCATTCTGCATTGGGAAGTAGGCAATGCGTGGATGTGGCTTAAAATCGGAGGTGACAGACATGCAGTGCATATCCTTAATCAATGGCACCAAAAATTCCTGATACACCACATAGACATCGAAGTCTGGTGCTATTATGCCACAATTAATATCCTCCTCCAAATGTCGTTCTTTCGAAGTCTTCCTCAGTGCCGGCCAAATGACATCGAAGAGATTATGATCCAAACGTGTCTGGCGTTTCTTTATTTTCTCATACACCGAAGGTTTGAGGAAACGACTCAAATATCCCGTTACGGCAAGTTGTAGGGAATTATTTTCCGACAATGGTTTCTTCTGGGCCAAGGCGGATGCCGTAGCACCACTCCACACCTTGCTCGATTCCTGTATCACACTAAAACAACGATCCAGGGTACGTTGAATATCGCCATCCTGCAACACACGCCTCGAACTGTGCAAATCGTCGGGTACTAAGGTGGCGGATGGGCCATAATAAATAACGGTTTTGTTTTTGGTTTTGCATTTTTGTGGTTTTGGACGATCGGACGAACAGGTTACAAGTGTTGCAATTGGAGTTTTTGTTGTGAAAAGAAGACAAAAGAAGAGGAGAATGCAGAGAAGTGCAGATAAAGGATTCATTTTGAGATTTTTGTTCTAGTTTAATTGTTGATTTAGTTTTTTTAATACACACAACGCCAGCTATTGTCATCACACATTATCACAAATATTTTTTTTTTAAATATTTACAAAGAAAACTGAAGAGAACGAACAACAATAAAAGAAGAGAACACTTATTGCGATCCTATAAATGGAAAATATTAAAATAAAATGGTAGTTTGAAAATTTTTGAAATCCCAAACGAAATTAAACAATTAATTAAAATTCTTATTTACAATAGAAAAAAATTGCACATATAAACTTTCATCAAAAACACATTTACACAAAAAATAATAAAGGTGCTGCATTAAAAAGCCAGGTGCCATTCACACCATAAAGCCAACAAATTGATTAGAAAAATAAATAACGAAATATTAATCCTAACTTCTTCAAGAACTATGGGCATTTTTTATACCATACACAACTATGTTGTGGGGGTACTATACCTTTGTGTGGCCAACTGAGTTTGTAACGCCGCGAAACATTTGTCCAAAATTTTTTTACTGGAGATTCTGGAGATCATAATTATGACCAGAACATTACGAAGTTTTACACGGAGAAGGGGACCAAGGAATAAACATGATTTTTTTCATAAAGATCGGTCAATATTTACCGGGACTTTTGTGTGAAAAAATGACAAAATTGTTTATATATATTTACTAAAGGATAAGAAGTTAAAGTTGACCAATTATATTATCTATTCGGACGTGGGAATTATACGTAAATATTACAGGTTCTACAAATTCCTATATTGTTTAGTATTACCATTACCACACTAAAGGACGGAAATGTCTCACTGATCGCTATAACATTTTACATAATGGTCTGATTATGGTCAATGAAGCTTCGGAGATGATCATATTATATTTATGAAAGTTTAAATTTCGGTCGGTCAATCAATAAAAGTCAAAAGCTCCTCTTTCTTATCCTGGCATATTTTCCGAATCATGTTTTTCTGGGGTGATTTGGCCCAGTCTTTTTTCGCCGATTATAATTGTCAATTGACCGAAAATTAAACATTTGGATGTTTTTTCACGTCGCCCTATAGCCCACAATTATAATGGGCGATAAAAGACTGGGCCAAATCACCCCAGAAAAACAAGATTTGGAAAATATGCCAGGATAAGAAACAGAAGCTTTTGACTTTTAATCGGTTAAGAGGGTGCAAATATCACGAAATATTGCCAGGCTCAGAATATAGATCAGCCGAAATATAGAATTTCGTTGTAGCTGTGTAGAGTATTATGGTTGGCCCCATTTGACTATACCGCTCCGCTCACCAAGGCCAGAGTTACCATTTTTTGCAAATAATTACAAAGGTGGGTTTATGACATATATAAATAACACATACAAGGCTTTCGAGGACACTGATTACGATTCTGCAAGAAAAACGTAAAAATTTAATAGGTTGGATCGAGAACAGCGGCCATTTTTATACCCTTCACCATACTGTGGTACAGGGTATTATGTCTTTGTGCATATGTTTGTAACAGGCAAAAGGAAATGAGATAGACACATGGTTTCTTTTGAGAATATGCATAGAATCACTTTCTGAGTCCATTTAGGCATGTCCGTCCGTCCATGTATTTTTGTGAACAAAGTACAGGTCGCATTTATGGTCCGGTTTGGATGAAATTTGGCACAGTTCACTTATTAGGCCCAAGGATGAACCCTTTTGAAATTGGGAAAAATCGGTTCAGATTTAGATATAGCTCCCATATATATTTTCGTCCAATTTAAGGTGCACCAAAGTCCCTATATATCTTTCGATTTGCACGAAATTTGGCACAGCGTAATGAATTAGGTATAGAATGATGTGTGTTAAGTTTCCTGAAAATCGGTTCAGATTTAGATATGGCTCCCATATATATTTTCGTCCGATTTAATGTAAATGGTCCACCAAAGTCGCTATATATCTCTCGATTTGCACGAAAACTGGCACAGCGTTATGAATTAAGACTATAATGATGTGTGTTAAGTTTCCTGAAATTAGGAAAAATCGGTTCATATTTAGAGAAAGCTCCCATATATATTTTCATCCGATTTAAGGTGCACCAAAGTCCCTATATATATCTTTCGATTTGCACGAAATTTGGCACAGCGTAATGAATTAGGTATAAAATGATGTGTGTTAAGTTTCCTGAAAATCGGTTCAGATTTAGATATAGCTCCCATATATATTTTCGTCCGATTTAATGTATTTGGTGCACCAAAGTCCCTATATATTATTCGATTTGCACAAAATTTGTTAAGTTTCCTGAAAATCGATTCAGTTTTAGATAAAATCGATTCAGTTTTAGATATAGCTCCCATATATATTACAGTCCGATTTATTGTAAATGGTGCACAAAAGTCCCTATATATCTTTCGATTTGCACGAAATTTGGCACAGTGTAATGAACTAGGTCTAGGATGATGTGTGTTACGTTTCCTGAAATCGGTTCAGATTTAGAACACTTTTTCTTTTATAACCTCATTTTTTATTTTATAAGCTTTGAACAAGGCTTCGTAGTCTTATTAACCTATTGTTCAAATCGGTCTAGATTGGGATATATATTTTCATTGCCACGGAATTTTTAATGGTCTACCGACACATTGCTAGAATGATGAGTTTGTTCAAATATTTTCAGTTTTATATTTATCCGCCATATATAATTCTATATAAATTTTCGCCGAAAAAATAGCCACAATATGTAGGAAATTCCTCAGATTTTCGAATACAACAATCCTATAAGTGATAATTAGAAATTTCTAATTGTGGATTAAAAATAGAAGAAAAATTAAAAAAAAAAAACAAAGATCAAAATCAAGCTTAACCACTGAGCGGAGCAGTATAGTCGGACGGGGCCGACCATACGATACCCTACACAACTACCACAGAACTCTATCATTCTGCAGATTTTTATTCCGAGCCTGGGTAATGATTCGTGATAGTTGCGCCCTCTTGCCCGATTAGAGGTCAATAGCACCTCTTCCATATACTGAAATATTTTACTAACCCAACCCTTCTAATTACTTACACAGATTCGCTTCACCGTGGGTTGGGTTGTGATGTAAAAAAAAAAAAGTCCGGTCCTCTTCATCAAAAAATTATTATCTGATCATCAACGAAAATTATAGGCGTTGCCCTGGACCATAACTGGAACCTCATGGAACATTTCAAAGCGATCAGCGCTAAATTTCCGCCCTCTAGTGTGGTAATGATTTATTAAATAATATCTGAATACTTAAGCACTCGTAAATATTTACGTGTAATTCCCACATCCGAGTACATACGACAATATCAATATCAATTTAAAGGCCAACCACTCCTCTTGGATATACTATCAACTTCTCGGCTCTATATTTTTTTTTTTAATTTTTCACACAAAAGTCAGGTTCCATTTGACCCGCTAAATATTGACCGATCTTTATCAAAAATTAAGTATTTGGTCCATTTCATCCCTTAAATGTTAACCGATCTTTACCAAAAACAATAGGGGTCCTCATTGGGCCGAACCCTTCCTACGTGCAAAATTTCGTGAAGATTGGTCCATAACTGTGGCCTTGGGGCTGCACAAAGCTATAATACCCTGAAAACATATATATTTAAATTTTCCCATGAGTCAATAGTTGGCACTATTTGCGCGCAAAAACAATCAGTAATTGTGTCAATACAACAATTCATATACTAGCCAATTATATTTACACTGACTCACAAATCACGTGATTCAAGTTGAAATTAGGTCATAAATTTAAAAACGCTATTGTAAAATTAAAATTTCCTGTAAAGTATAGCCTATAATTATAACTCAAATAAATCATTTGTTATTTGTCATCTCTGCCTAAAACTTACCAAAAACATCGTCAATATTCTTAATTATATGATTAAAGAATTGACGATTATCCATTCTGGATTACAATATGAATTCATTACACACAATCGTTTAGTTTAGAAAACTCCAATAGTATAAAAAACAACAATAAATATATCTCTTTCTAAACGAACAATAACAAAAAAAATCGATAACAATGTCACTACACGATACAATAACACTGATTATATCCCTTTTATCGTTTAGCACTGGAGAAAAAAAAAACCAAAAATACTATTTATTATTTTCTTTTTTATCCTTGGGACAATTTATGATTGACACCAACCGCCGAGCAAAACTTTAAAACAACGACTAACTAAAGAGATTTTAAAAATGTAATTCATGACCTGTCTGTCATGCGGCAACGTCAACTTGACATCGATCCGTGTGTTAGTAGTAATGTCATCCTTTTGTGCAACACCTCCCTCTCCCCCATCCACTTTAGACGACTTTAGCCATTGGTCAAACAAGTTTAAGGTTGAACCCCCTACTTGGGGGGGGGGGGGGGGGCATGCTACTGTCTACCGTAGGTGGTTACCTATCAAACATTATTTATAATTTAAAACGCTGAGTAAACAATCGAAAAGAGAGAAATAACCGATTGGCCACAAATGTGTGTGTATGGTCAATTGTGCTACAAGAAAACGTGGAGACAGCAAAAGAAAACAAAAGACAAAACAAAGTATTGAAGAAATACAAAATAGACCCGAATTCAGTTAAAATTTTAATTGAATATTTAATGAAATAGAGAATATATTTCGGTACGAAGGGATAGAGGGAAAACGAACCACGGGTATTAATTTTTAGATGCACGCAAGTGGATGACCCTGAAAAATTACATGTAGAGTGGCAATTTTTTTTGGCATGAGAGACACTGTAACTTTTTAGAAACTATAGCGAAAAATATACGCCATGCGCCACCACATTTGTTTTAAACATAAGTAAATTCTGAACATTTATAATTGGTATTCATTAACCAGTATGGGAAAGACTCAAATGGGAGGGGCCGACTATTAATACCCAAATCACTAAGAATCGTATTTTAACGCATAATAAATAACATATGAGTGCTATATTTAACAAATAATTGTCATTCGGAATTGTCCAACTTTGGGTATGTTAATAAAAAAGTAGCAAACATGAATCGGGATTTGGGTTCTGAGAATCCTCAATAAATTGAATAGATGTCATTACATAACGAAAAAGTCACTGTTTGGTTCACCATTTGATCCGAAGGAGTTATTGCACCTTACTTCTGCGAAAACGACTACGGAACGACTGTCACCGTCACTTCGAAGCGTTTTATTATTATTATTTCAATTCATTAGTAAATTTTACTTGTGAAGCCCCAGCGCCAAAAAAGCTTTATAGGGGTTTTGATCACATGATAAACAACTTTTTGGGCTGCTTTTCCAAAATATGTTTTTCCGCAGCCATAGGATTCAGATTTTTTCGCCTTTTCACACAAAAGTCTTGGCTCATTTGACCCGCTTAACATTGACTGATAATTATAAGCTTCCCCGCGGAAAATTTATGATGTTCGGCTAATAACTGTAGCGTCAAGGAAACCAGTCAAAATTTAAGTTTTCGGTCGGTTTCATCCCATAACTAACATTGGATCATCACAGAAAGTTGTGGGCATCGTCCTTGAAAGTTGTTGTACTTGATCATTACCGGAACTTCATGTTGATAGTGTGATAATGGCAAGTCTAAACAATTTCAGAATTCGTAGACACATATATATATATATATCGTTAGCTAAAATGCAAAAAGGCGTAACTAACAAAAAATTGAAAATCGACTTTTTGAATGAATATTGTGAATGTCAATAAACTACATGTGTTGACATTCAAAAAGTCAATTTTCAATTTTTTGTTAGTTACGCCTTTTTGCATTTTAGCTAACGATATATATAACTGTTTAATTATAACTCCCACATCCATTACACACATACATATCATTAGTATTTATTGAAAGGTCAACCTCTCCGCTTCGATATACTGTCAAGTTCTAAAAAAATCCACACATTGAAGTCCAGGCTTTAAAGAAATCTTTACAAATTTAAATCATTGAAATCCAGACTTTAAAAATCATGACCAAATCCACACCTTGAAGTTTCTGGTTTAACGAATATTTCAATAATCCACGCTTTAAAAAAATCATGAACAAATCCACGCCTTGAAATCCAGGCTTTAAAAAAATCATGAACAAATCCACGCCTTGAAATCCAGGCTTTAAAAAAATCATGAACAAATCCACGCCTTGAAATCCAGGCTTCAACAAATATTTCAAGAATTCACGTCTTGAAATCCAGGCTTTAAAAAATCCACGTCTTGAAATCCAGGCTTTAAAAAATCCACGTCGTGAAATCCAGGCTTTAAAAAATCCACGTCTTGAAATCCAGGCTTTAAAAAACGTCTTGAAATCCAGGCTTTAAAAAATCCACGTCGTGAAATCCAGGCTTTAAAAAATCCACGTCTTGAAATCCAGGCTTTAAAAAACGTCTTGAAATCCAGGCTTTAAAAAATCCACGTCTTGAAATCCAGGCTTTAAAAAATCCACGTCTTGAAATCCAGGCTTTAAAAAATCCACGTCTTGAAATCCAGGCTTTAAAAAATCCACGTCTTGAAATTTAGGCTTTAAAAAGACCACGTCTTGAAATGTATGCTTTAAAAATCCAAGCTTTTACATCCAGGCTTTAAAAAATCCACGTCTTGAAATCCAGGCTTTAAAAATCCACGTGTTCAAATTTAGGCTTTAAAAAAACCACGTCTTGAAATGTAGGCTTTAAAAATCCAAGCTTTCACATCCAGGCTTCTAAAAAATCCAGGCTTTAAAAAATCCACGCCTTGAAATTCAAGGTTTAAAAAAGTTAAAAAATCCTCGCCTTGAAATCTTGGCTTTAAAGAAATCGTTAAAAAATTGAAATCCTTGAAATCCAGGCTTTAAAAAATATTTCAATAATACTCGTCTTGAAATCCAGGCTGTCATGCTTATTCTTTGGCCAGATTGCTTTCCCCACATAAAATTTCTTGATGTTCGGGTTATAACTACGGCCTCTTGAATGACCAGAAAACAGACAAAATTAAAGTTGTTGGTACATTTCGTTTCCTAAATATTAACGGATTATTGCAAAAAACTAATGGGGTATTCTGTGGCCAAAAGCGGTCCATATGCAAAATTTGGTGACGACTGATTCATAAATGTGGCCTGGAGCGTGTTCACAAATTATATGGACAGACAGACGGATACACATGTCTATATCGACTCAGCTAGCCATGATACACAAAAAGGTTGGTCCAGGACCAATATTTCGTACCGTTACAATCTCTTGAGCCAAACAAAGAAGTTATAATACCCTTACAACACTATTGAGTAGGGTATGATGATATATAATTTAAAAAAATGTATACGTTCACTTTTGAAACCACGAGATGGATAAACCTGTATAATTAACCCTTCAATCATAATTGTTCTTCCTCAGTAATTATTAATTTCTGTGATTAAAAATTCCATGGAAAGCCTTTTAACTCATATTTAATAAAACAACACAAAACATAAATAACAAAAATTTAATCACACCAAAAACAAACAATTATTTACAGTCCATTTTATTTAAATAGCAGTGACAATAAAAAGCCATTGAATAAACAAAGGAATGAAAAATAGAAACTGAAAACGAAAAAACAGATTGCGATGACACCCCATTATTAGTTAATTAAAATTCAACACAAAGGAAATAAACAAAAACACATATTTTATTATGCACCCGAACACACACATACACATGCAAGCACACACACACACATAGAGAATCAAATACTATATAATTTTCTTCTCAAAGTCAAAAAAAGGAATATCCACCCGCCCACATAAAATCAAAAAAAATGAAGAAGGTCACAAGAAAAGAGAACTCAAGTACCCCACTACTACTTACCTTGATCGCTAAGAAGTTGTGATTCCAATTCTTCGGCGCCGAAATTTTTCAATAACTGTCCATAGTTAAATGTATCTTTGAGGTCGTTATTTGTTAGATATTGTTCTGGTGTTTTACCCAACTGAAATAGATGACAACAAATATGAATGAAAAATGTGTTTATTGGAATAGTAAGGGAATATGAATCATATTAATGATTATTCAACTCATAATTGAGAGATGACATCAATTACATACGTATGGGTATGAACATATGTTATTTCTCATGAATTGTCATACAGCCCTATATTATTAACACCTTGACAAATATATATATATATACTTGAAGACATTTACTAGTAGTATTTGTGTAATTGGTGAGTAATTAAAGTTGATTATTATGACAAAAATGCTTGTGAGTCGGAGGATATATGTGCGTTATATATCTCATTTAATTATTTAGAATGTAAATAGCCAAAACCCGATGTTTGTCCTATGTGTGTCTTGGGGTCGAACATTCCTATTGGGGAATGTGGCGTGATTATTTTGTTTGTTCGCGACCCTATTATACTTCAAGATATAGCTTAATATCTTGGTTTGTAGCTATTGTAACCACAAATCGATATTTTAATGTTTTAATGATCTATTCTCAATTTTACTAGTTCCATGTCACTAAAACCCTATATGTATGTATTTCAATAAATTCGTATTCGTCCGAATTTTTTCTAAAACCGTATATATTTGTTCCAAATACATCAAAAAGAAATAAATTTCAATGATATAAGAACCTGTTTTCTAAATTTTTGAACCAGATATTCAGCAAATAATGCCTTATGCCATGTACAGACGAGCGTTGTTCGCTCTCTCATTCGTTGTTCGACCCCTAATTATGAAGTAATTACATAGTTCCCCATACAAAATTGTCTGAGCGAACACCGACTTTTGTACGTTGTTCAATTCGAATCACTCTCTGAATCACCAAAAATTTTGTCCCATCTCTAACAATTGAGAGAATTTATCGAAAATAAATTAATTTTGACAGCATGAAAAAATTTTTAAATTTTTCAAAATTTTTCAGTAAAATTGAAAATGATGAATGAAAAGTAACCCAAATTCTAGTTTTTATATATGCAGAAGGATGTAAATTTTGTTGTCTACGTAATGCAATATGCATTTCTTTCCCCTTGGTTCTAATTAGCGTACAAAACGAGAAACAAAAGTGGGGAAACCCAAACAAAAATTCTCCAATTTTTTAAATGTGACATTTGAGTTGAGAAAATATAAAAATGTATTGAAAACAACAATATTTTCAGAAAAAATGGAAAACATGAATTAAAAGTAAAGAGATAGGGGTTGATATTATAGTCAGGAGAAAGAGAATTATTTTTTCTATTTAGATCCATATGTGATTCACGCAAATATGTTACAATTTTGGTGTAAAACAAGAAACAAAATGTTTGAAATAAAAAAACTCTGATGACATGAATTAAGAATGGTGTTGTATGAACGGGTTAATTCATGTACGTAATTCTGAGAGCGAACTACGTTGTTCGAATGCCCGTCAGAACATGGCATTATATGCATATCATTTGGAAAATATCGATCAAACGTGATTAATTTTTTGAACCGAACAATTTTAAGTTCTATTTGCTGAATAATCGTTTTAAAATTTAGAAACCCATTTCTTTTGAAACGGATATTCAGGTAATAAAACCGGGTTTAATACATTATATGCATATCATTTTAAAGCTAGTAAACCAACGCGCTAAATTCATTGAACCGAAAACCGGTTCTTTTTATCTTCATTTTTAAACTCTACACAACTGTGTTGTCAGGGTATTATAGCTTTGTGCAGTCCCAAAAGTTTGTAACGCCTCGATATATTGGTCCTAGACCCATTTTTAAGTATACCGATCGTCATATCTCGACTAGCTGAGTCGATCTAGACATGTGTGTCCATCCGTCCGTCTGTCCATTATAATTTGTAAACACGATACAGGCCACAGTTATGGACCAATCTTCACGAAATTTTGCATGTGGGATGCGTTCTGGCCAATGAAGACCCCTATTGTTTTTGGGAAAGATCGGTTAATATTTAGGGGATGAAATGGACCACATACTAAATTTTTGTCTGCTTTTCTGGTCGCTCCAGAGGCCGCAATAATGGCCGAGCATCGAGAAATTTTGTATAGAGAAGGGGATCGGGGCAAAGAATAAATATGCCTTTTTTTATAAAGATTGGTCAATATTTAGCGGGTCAAATGGACCCCGACTTTTGTGTGAAAAATGACAAAATTTATATTCTATAGCGTATATATTTACCCCTGAAGGACATAGACCCGAGAAGTTGATATTATATCCAAGAGGAGTGGTTGACATTTAAATTAATACCAATTATATTGTTTAATGTGCTCGGATGTGGGAGTTACACTTAAATATTTACAGGTATCTCCATATTGGCATATTATTTAGTAACCCATTATTACTCTAGAGAGCGGAACTATAACGCTGATCGCTTTGAAATGTTCCATGAGGTTCCAGTTATGGTCAAGAACAACGCCTATAATTTTCGGTGATGATCAGATTATAATTTTGGAATGAAGTGGACCGAAAACATAATTTTTTGTGTTATTTTCGAGTCGATCTATAGACCACAAATGAAAGCCGAACATCACAACACAACCCACGGTGAGGGGAATCTGGACAATAGCTGTACTGAATACTCGTAATATTCGGAAAATATGTGAGTGTGAGGAAGAGGTGCTGTTTATCTCTAATCGGGCAAGAGGGTGCAAATATCACGAAATATTGGCCAGGCTCGGAAAATAAACATCCGCAGAAAATTTAAGTTCCGTGGTAGTTGTGTAGAGTATCGTATGGTTGGCCTCGTCCGACTATACAGCTCCGCTCACTGATTTTTTCATATTTTCGATTCTCCCCCGATCTTGTATTAAGATTGACACAAAGTCCCGGGTGGCTTCCATACAAAGGTACCTCGCATAAGTCCGTATTTTTTGAAGTTTGGGGATGGTATAAAACCAAATTGGCTGTAATATTATATTTTGGATTCTCTGAATATACCTACCAAAAATTGGCAATATGTTTACACTTAGGTCCCATATAATGGTACCACCTCCCTCCATTAATCAGTATATTATTGATTTGGGGCACGATTTTCAACCGAATAATTTGCCAATTGATATAACGGTACATCGCTCCCATACAAATTCGCCGTTAACACGTTGACGGACAGTTGCGTCTATAGCCTTCATGTTCAATTTCACTATGTGACATGACGGCTGTAGCAGCACAAATTTGCATTTACCAGCGTACAAGTAGAAGCCTAGTGTCATGTTTTCGAATTTCACTGGTTTCTACTGTCCGTCAACGTGTTAAATTATGTCTGTAATTTGGTTTTTCATATTCCCAAATAAATAACCTATCAGCAGACACTGAGAAGGGGATCTGAACAAGGAGAAACATGGATTTTTTCATGATAATCAGTCAATATTTAGCGGATCAAATGAACCCAGACTTTGTGTGAACAATTTGAATTTGGTGTGCTTTTTACAAGTATCTTTATAGACCACAATTACAACCTGAACTCCACAACACATCACAAGTGAAGGCGAATCTGGGCAACGAATTAGAGGATCGGTCCATATTTAGCCGTTCAAATCAATGAAAAATTTTCTGTGTACAGGTTCGCAAAATATGTCAGAGTAAGAAAATCGAACTGTTGACCTTCTGTGTACAGGTTCGCAAAATATGTCAGAGTAAGAAAATCGAACTGTTGACCTCCAATCGGCCAAGAGGGTCAACTGCGCACAGAAAGTTAGAGTTAAATTAAACGTGTACAGGTTCGGAAAATATGCCAAGGTAAGAAAGAGGAACTGTTGATCTCTCTGTTGATGTCACGAAAATGTGCTCAGACTAGGAAGGTAGACATACAGAAATTTAGAGTTCCGTGGTAGTTGGTTGGTCGGCCCAGTTCGACTAAACTACTCTGCTCACTGGTTTTTATATAAGGGTTTTTTGCAAAGACATTTTTCATATTGTACCAGCGGGTACTTTTGGAGTCTCATTGGATAGGATCTCCATATCAAAAGTTTTGGCGTACGCCTCTTGAAATTTTACCTCCAATTATAATCCGTACATAACGGTACACCCATTTTTGAGGATTTCAGATACGTTTTTTAACCGTATTGCTTTCACTTACTTTTGGTTGCAGTACCAATATCGATCCATGATCAGGTATAGTCCCCAAGCAAGGGTAACCAAATATTCGGTATTTAAATATTGTCCAGCTCGATTTATACTCATTTTTAAGAAGATATTGTCAAACAGGCAGCATCTTTTAGCGACAAATCCCGCGAACCAAGACTGTGAATTTTTTATTCAAGTACGAAAATTAAATTAAGTCATTGTATTATAAGTGAGGACTGTACTCATCAATTACCCGTTTTAACCGGCAAATTATCAGTTTTGCGAAAGAAAATGGAGCATTTTTGCTTTATAGATACGTGCCAGAGCGCAAAAGTCGACTTTTAGACTTTTTTGATTTTTGCCGACTGATGGAAAATCGACTAAAAATTTGATTTGTTTATATAATTTGTTGTCAAGCAGATAAATAAAGTTCTGGAATATGTAATGTTTGGCCAATTTGGTATAATAAAATAAGTATTTGTGAAGAAAATCGAAAGTCGACTTTTCGATTTCCTGAAAGTCGAATATATTACTTTTCAATACAAAAAGTCGATTATTTACTCATCCCTAACCTGAAAACACAAAAGCCCAAATAAGCGCAACTTCGATCTTAATATGTGTCTAAGATCTATTATACTTTCCGTAATGATGGTGCTTATTTTTATTCACAAATGTATATTTGTGACACCAAATTCAGTTCGCCTGAGTAAAATATATTATATCTGTGAATTCTTTTTTTATTTTACTTACATTATCCAAAGCCTTAGGATTGGCGCCCAATTGCTGTAGAACATTATAAAAATGTCCATTGTCATTTATAACTGCAGCATAATGTAAAGCAGTTCGTCCATCATTATCCGTTACCGAAGTCGTCTCAGGGAAACGGGCAGACAAATATCGTACAATATCTGAAAACAAAACAAAAACATATTCGAATTATATTCATTTTCCAAATATGAATCTCTCTGTGTAAATCCTCCAACTTACCACTATGACCAAATAATACCGCAACATGCAGTGGCGTTGCACCATTCGGTGATATTTCATCTTTGGCAATGGCAAACTTTCGTCGATCCAAGGCTTGTTGCAGATTTAGTAAGCTACCTCCGCGTGCAGCTTCGTGGACTCGACGAATTTTATCCTGCAAAATTTTATGTTAATATTTATTTTTCATAATTTATGCTAGGTTTAAATTGGCCTTCAAAACATTATTTATACGTTATTATTTATTTATTTAAAATACATCATGAGGTGTAGGGTATAATATATTTGTCATTTCATTCGCCTGAGACCCCTAAAGTATATATATATATATATATATATTCTTTATCAGAATAACATTCTATGTCGATTAGCCATGTCCGTCTGCCTATTTAAATCTCCATCGTTATATAAGTATTTATTATTAAAGATAGAGCTTCGAAATATTAAACACACTTTGCTACTATCGCTGGTATTGACGAGACTATCGATCTACCTTATAGTTATTCGATATTTTGGCTCCAAATTTATACTTTGGATTCTTATTGCGTGGAAAATCTTTCTTACCAAAAATACCTCCGGCTGTATTTGGTCTTCGGGCTTCTTTGAAAGTGAAAAACATATTTCCTGAAAAATATCCACGTAGGTCAACATTTTTATTGGTCTCTTTAGAGGTCTTCTTCTTCCTAAAGAAGTGCTGAAGATCTTCTTCTTACTTTAGAAGAGGTGGAGGTCTTAGTCTTCCTATAGATGAGCTAGAGGCCTTCTTTATCTTCCTATAGATGAGCTGGAGATCTACCTCTTCCTATAGAAGAGTTGGAGGTCTTCGTCTTCCTTTAGAAAAGCTAAAGAAGTGCTGAAAATTTTCTTCTTACTCTAGAAGAGGTGGAGGTCTTCTTCTTCCTATAGATGAGCTAGAGGTCTTCTTCTTCCTATAGATGAGCTGGAGATCTACCTCTTCCTATAGAAGAGTTGGAGGCCTTCTTTTTCCTTTAGAAAATCTGGAGGATTTATTCTTCCTATAGATGCGCTGGAAGCCTTCTTCTTACTGTAGGTGAGCTGGACGTCTACTTCTTCCATAAGAAGAGCTGAAGATCTTATTCCTGTAGATGAGCTGGAGGTCTACTTATTCCTATAGAAGAGGTAGAAGTCTCCTTCCTTTAGAAGAGCTAGAGGTTTTCTTCTTCCAATGGAAGATCTGGAGGTCTTCTTCTTCCTATAGAAGAGCTGGAAGCCTTCTTCTTACTGTAGGTGAGCTGGACTTCTACTTCTTCCTTAAGAAGAGCTGAAGGGTCTTTTTCCTGTAAAAGAGCTTGAGCTCTACTTATTCCTACAGTAGAGCTGAAGTCTTCCTCCTATGGAGGACCTTGAGGTCTTCTTTTTCCTATAGAAGAGCTGGAAGCCTTCTTCTTCCTATATATGAGCTGGAGGTCTACTTTTTACTATAAAAGAGCTTCCAACGTCCAGCTCCATTTTCGGTGTTTGGAAGGCCTATATATGTCCGTGTTTTAGCATAGCCCCAATATAATGGCCCCACCCCATTTTCGATGTTTTGAAGGTCAGCAAAGTTCTATATTTTTACAGAGCCCACTTTTCAAGGTTTTATCCACATTTATAATTAACACAAACGTACGTTTTCGGTATGTTTAGGGTCCTAGCCGATGCTTCCAACCTGATTGTTTCTTATTTAGTATTTCGGAGGAGAAACCATTTACAATGGCTAAGACACATCATGATGTATGAAAAGTTCAGACTTTCCGAACTCTACGACATTTTTCCTCTTTTAAAAATAAATCAAGTTTTGAAGACCCATCAAAATTATAGCACTTACCATATAATTTGGTACATTACGCAAAAATGCTTGGATTTCCGGCTCCTTGGCTTTCACATTCAATAGCTTCTGACCGTCACCATTCAATACGATTTGGGCCAATTGTTCCATATCACCAGAAGCTATGATTCTACTGATACGTGATTCCTTTGGAGGTTTGAGTTTTGTTTTGGTTTTTCATATTTTTTTGTTTTGAGTTGGGAATGAAGGAGTAGTAGGGTTCGGTGATGATAAAATATGATGGCGTTATATATCAAAAATAAATATAATTTCAATTTTTGTAAAAAAAAACACATAAAATATAAAAATGAAAGAAAAAACAAATATAAAGAAATCCAAATAATACACAAAGGACAAGACATAACAAATAAAGAAGGTGCATGGTGCTTTAAAAAAAAGGTGCCCAAAGAAAATTAAGAAATTAAATTTTGTTTATAGAAAGAATCAATTGGGAATGAAGAAAAACTTCGGTATTAGAAGAAAGTGTATGTGCCAAATATCTCTGAAGAGAACTTTTTTTTTGGAATAGAAAGTGGCAATGTTTCGAAAAGGTGCACCATTTTGACTGATTCAACGGAAATGTGTGACAGACAAGTGTGTGCTTTTGACAAGACTACGACGCACAAGGTCTTGTTAAAACTCATAAGAAATGAAAATATCAAAGATTGCAACATCAGCTTCAGTATTGTTTGTTTGCTGAGAGGAATAAAAATAAACAAACAGGACAACAATTGGAGTTGGTTTTTGAAAAGTTATACTTTATCATTATCATGATCATCAAGAATAGCAGCTTTTTGTGACTGAACTGTATTATCATCGGCAACTCCCTGGACAAAACCTTCAATGGCCAGTGCTGAGGTGGGCGATTCAGTGCCATCATCACCATCATCCTCCTGCTCGGCATCAGCATTTTCTTCCTCTCCTTCTTCTTCTTCTTTGTTGTTATTATCTTGTTCATTTGCATTGTCACTGTTGGCCTCCTCATTATTTTCGTTTTCTTCTTGATTTGTTTCTTCTTCATTTTGATTTGCAGTGTCTTCGCCCACCGCCTCTTCCGTTTCAGTTGCCTAGGAAAAAGTGGGAAGAATTTTTCTTTGGAAAGGAATTCTAGATTTTTTCGATTTTTTTAATGGCCAATTCAGCTAAAATGCAACAAAATCTACGATAATATCTAGGGTATTCATGCACTAACTACATTACTATTACTTATATTCGAGTTAATCTACATTCTTAGGTCACTATTCTACGACTTGAATGTTCTGTAAATAAATTTGGTTGGACTACATGGATATTTTTTTTCAAATTTTACATACCGCATAATACATCGATTGGGTCTAGAAGAATTTCGATATTAATATTTTTCATTTATGAATGGCTGAAAAAAGGCTTTATTTTTAAACCATATAAATTTGTCATTACTCCTCATATATAGGCTCGGATAATCGTATATTGCTAATATTCAGTTCAACCCGTCTAATTACATGTCCAGATTCCCTTCACCGTGGGTTGTGTTGTGATGTTTGGCTTATAATTGTGGTCTATAGAGCGGCTCAAAAAAAAAACACAAAAAATAAGTTTTTTTTCTGATCATCACCGAACGTTATAGGCCTTGTCCTTGACCATAGCTGGAACCTCATGGAAAAATTTCAAAACGATCTATGATATATTTCCGCCCTATATTCCGCCCCATGACCACACGGGTTACTAAACCATATCTGAATGCGTAAGTACATGTAAACATTTAAGTGTAACTCCCTCATCCGAGTACATACGACAATATAATTAGTATCAATTTAAAATTCAACCACTCCTCTTGAAGTGAAGTAAATATATATGCTATAGAATACATAGACCGATCTTTGTGAAAACAAGCCTGCTTATTCGTTGGGCCAATTTGCTCATCACTGAAAATTATAGGCGTTGTCCTTGACGATACCTGGATCCTTATGGAAAATTTCAAATCGATCAGGGCTATATTTTCGCCCTCTAGTGTGGTAATGGTTTACTAAATACATACGACAATGTAATTGGTATCAATTTGAAGGCCAACAACTCCTCTTGGATATATTTTCAACTTCTTTGGTCTATGTCATTCAGGGGTAAATATATACGCTATAGAATAAACATTTTGTAATTTTTCACACAAAAGTTAGGGTCCATTTGACCCGCTAAATTTTTAACCGATCTTTATCAAAGCAGGCGTGCCTATGCTTTGGCCCGATCCCCTTCTCCATGTAAAAAGTCGCGATGTTTGGGCCATAATTGCGGCCTCTGGAGCGACCAAAAAATCAGACAAAAATAAAGTTTTTGGTCCATTTCATCCCCTAAATATGATCCTATCTTTTCCAAAAACAATAGGGGTTTTCATTGGCCATAGCCCATCCTACATGCAAAATAACTGTGACCTGTATCGAGTTTACAAATTATAATGGACAGACGGACGGACACACATGTCTAGATCGACTCAGCTAGACGAGATATGACGATCGGTGGGTCTAGGACAAATATTTCGCGGCGTTACAAACTCTTGGGGCTGCACAAAGCTATGATACCCTGGCAACATAGTTGTGTAGGGTATAACAACGATATTATATATTCTAGTTCATCAGAGCTGAGATATTAATTAGATAAATTGTATACAGTATCTCTATCCACTTGTCATTTTCATTTTAATTTTAAAGTGTCATATTTAAAATACTACGTCGCACAACACTGACATATTTACTACCATTCAATATGCCAACGTCAATACAACTCTAAAAATAATGTATTGACTTGAAACTTGTCAGTGTGGTGTCATATCTCAAAGTTGCAACTGACGCTGAATAAAAATACTGAACTACAGAAATTCAGAAGACAATTCACCTGTTTGGTAAAACACACATAAATTGCATGCTTAGATGCCATTTTAGATAGCGCCGTAGTTTCGCGCCATGAAAAACGGGCGATTGTTTGACAGTTATGGCAAAATCGAAAAAAATATTGCAAAAAAAAAAAACACAACTAAACTAACTTGGAACGGAAGTCATTTAAACAATTTCTAGGTTAAAATACTATGAAAGTCAATATAAATATAAATGTACATTATATTATGGAAACAACTTTTAATTTCATTTTAAGGAGCACTATGGAATAAAATCAATATTGTGGGAGTTATAAACAAATATTTAGAGGTTATTACAAAATTGAAACTTTTCAATGGAATTAAAAAAGGAAACTTTAAGTAGGAGGGAAGAAGTTTTGAATTTCCATGCTTAATATTCATAACAAATATAGGAAATATCTAAATTTTACTTACATGTCTCATATATTGCTTTAATTTATTAGTAGCCTAAAAGTATGCTTTAAATTTGAAAAATATGTTGAATTGAGACTAACAAGAACAAATAAGACCTACATGTTGTCAAATTAATGATATACATGCGCTATCTCGAGTCCCTGTACCTCTATTTTGTAATTTTTTCCACCATAAATGAGACGAGATTTACCGGCCTTCTATTATTCTACAAAAATCTTGCCCCAAAAGACCTATCAAGGATTATGATGACTGGTCATTTTGATATTTGGTATGTATGATTCCCATAAATCGATACAGATTGAAATGACGAAAAGGGTACAAAGCAACATGTAGAATCAGAACACTTTTAGAATACATGAATATAAATTATATTCGTCATATAATTGATATTCGGGGTTCTTGAACTGTGAGCAATAATTTTGCTGGAAATATTCATTATACATAGCTCCATGTTTTCATATAGCACTCTTATTAAGGTCCCACCTTTTTTTCCAGAATTTTTAATATTTTAGACATATTTTCCTACCGAAATGCCCGTAATTTAATTTTAGCTCCATGTTTTGATATAGACTCCACAAATAAGGACTGGTCCTATTTTTGGTATATTATAGGGTTTAACAATTTTTTTTACTGTAGCATACGACTATGTTTTCATAAATCCCCAAAATAAAACGCAAGAAGAATTGTTTGTTTTTTAAAGATTTCAGCCTAAAATTTTGTATTCACATTGTCTGTGGAAATCACAGCATAACTCGCAATACCTAAGCAGTGAGCGGAACAGTATAATTAGACATCGGCGACCATATGATACCCTACACAACTAACTTTCTGCGGATTTATATCCCGAGCCTGGGCTATAATTTACACCATTTGCACGATCTTTAACGATTTGGAGTCAACAGCTAGTCCTTCTTAACCCGGCATATTTTCCAAATTTTGTTTTAACGGGGTGTTATACATTTTAAACCCTTCATCACACTGTGGTAAAGGGTATTACGTCTATGTGCATATGTTTGTAACAAGCAAAAGGAAACGGGATAGACACATGGTTCCTTTTGAGAATATGCATAGAATAACTTTCTGAGTCGATAAACGCATGTCAGTCTGTCTGTCCGTCCATCTGTCCGTCCATGTATTTTTGTGAACAAAGTACGGATCGCATTTATGATCCGATTTGGATGAAATTTGGAATAGGTCACTTATTTGGCCCAAGAACAAACCCTATTGGAATTGGGAAAAATCGGTTCAGATTTAGATATAGCTCCCCTATATATTTCCGTCCTATATAGGCACCAAAGTCCCTATATATCTTTCGATTTGCACAAAATTTGGAATAGGGTACTGAATTAAGCCTACAATGATGTGTGTTAAGTTTCGAGAAAATCGGGTCAGATTTAAATATAGCTCCCATATATATTTTCGTCCGATTAAATGTAAATGTGCACTAAAGCCCCAATATATTTCGCGATGTGCTCGAAATTTGGCACAGCGTAATGAATTAGATTTTGAAAATGTTTGTTAAGTTTCCTGAAAATCGGTTCAGATTTAGATATAGCTTCTATACCTGACCAAATGGAAAATTTAGTACCGGTTGCAGAATGGCATGTTAATGGATCCAATTTCATTTTACTGGTTCTTTAAAAATTTTATGTTTGTTAGAATTCATCCGTTGAATACACCCAAAGTTGTTAAGCATATCATATAGTCCGACTTTACTACTTTCCGAATTGTTTTTTATACCCTCCACCATAGTATGGAGGGTATATTAATATGCCATTCCGATTGTAACTCATCGAAATATTTATTTCCGACCCTATAAAGTATATATATTCTTGATCAGGGTAAAATTCTAAGACGATCTAGCCATGTCCGTCCGTCCGTCTGTTGTAATCACGCTATCTTCTGAAGGAATTGGGATAGGGTGCTGAAATTTGGCGTAGGGTTGTCTTTTGTTTGCAGGCAGGTCAAGTTCGAAGATGGGATATATCGGTCCACGTTTAGGCATAGCTCCCATATAAGGGTACCCCCCAATTTTCGGTACCCCCGTGTTTTTCAACCGAATTCGCTGAAATTTGGTACGTTGGGTTCTTATTGGGTACTAAATGTCTCCACAAAAAATTATGAGTATAGGTCCACTTTTTCTGTTAGCCCCCATATAACGACACTTTCTAACTTTCGGTATTTTGGGGGTTTTGATGGTATTTTTACATCGAATTGGCTGTAATTTAGTATTTTGAGTTCCTAATAGGTACCAAATTTCTCCACAAAAAATTATGAATAAAGGTCAATTTTTTCGGGTAGTGCCCATATAAGGGTACCCCCAATACTCGGTATTTTGGGGTTCTTGGGCGCGTTTTTCAACCGAATTCGCTGCAATTTGGTATTTTGTAGTCGTATATGGTAATAAATCTCCCTACCAAAAATTATTTATATTCGCCCCCTTTTTGGGGTAGTCCCCATATAACCCCCTTTTATTATTAAAATAGTTATCTAATTTGTTCCGCGTTTTGGGTTTGGTTCTAAGAGTCTGTCGTAATCATTTAACCTGCGTAGGATATCGAGATAAAGTTAGAACTTAAGGTTCGATAATGAACTATACATGGACTATAACCCGCATTTAGGCCTAGCACCTGTGTGGGAGGTATCAGAGGGAGTGGACCGATAGTCCACATTTTCGAACCTGAACTAAGTTTGGACTTAACGCTTTTTCACTTGTTTTTTATTTTACACAGACATGTCTTGGATTATTTGACCCATGGAAAGTTTGTGATTTCGGCTTATAATTGTGGCATTTAGAGCGACTAGAATACCAGACAAAAATAAAGCTTTTGGTCCATTTTAAACCCTATATATCATCTGATCACTACCGACCTACGCGTCGACCTTGACCATGACCGGAACTGCAAGCAAAATGTCCATGCTATCAGCGCCATCTTGTGCAGTGATGGTTATACTAAACAATATCACAATACGAAGACAACTGTAACTATTTACGTATAACTCCCACATCCGAGGACATACATCAATATAATTGGTATCAATTTAAAGGTCAACAACTCCTGTTGGATATACTATCAACTTCTTGGATCAATGTTCTTCACAAGTAAAAATATTCGAGATAGAATACACAGTTTTAATTTTTCATACAAATTCTAGGTCTACTTAAACCTCTAAATATTGACCGATCTTCATCAAAACAGTCAAGGTTTTTCTATAATCAGACCCTTTCTTTTTGTAAAACTTCGTGATGTTCGATTCATAAGATGGATCTAGGATAGTGTTGTGCATACCTAAATAAGGAGTTAGTTTGGTGAGCGTAACTGAGAATTCATCACTAAAAATAACTAAGGAAAAGAAAACCTATGAGAATACGTTTTTAACCATTTACTTTAATGTATGATTTTGGTATGTTTTGAGCATCGTCACACAAAGCTATAATAACTTCACTACATATTTGTATAGGGTATAATAATATACCTATGGTGTTTGGTATTGAAAATGCTTAAGTCGCATTTTCGATAAAGATTTTCTTGAAACATGAAATACCTCTTCAATGTAGGTCCAGGACAAACAGAAAAGTCAATTATTCAGTAAAACTCTTCCGATAAAAAAATTAGACACGAAATGCTCATACTCCGCGAAATTACCAAAATTCCGAGAATAATAAATATATAATCGTTTTCTTGTACAAATTCAAAATCATGTCAAAATTATGGACCTGGCCCTAAAATATTTTATTTTTTTACCGCCCTGCAACAATAAAAAGACTTATATATAAAAACAGACTCTTATATACACCTTCCAACTCAGTGTTGAGGATAGTCAGTGAATTATCGTCAAAAAATCAAAAAAAAAATATATAATTTGTATAAAACCTATGTTCCAAGTCATTTATAATATATGTACTTAAGCTCTACAACGGTAATGCATGAAGGATCGAATCAATAAATTTTAATTTACACATTAACCTGTTAGAATTTTGATTAAAAAGTCCCTACAATGTATATATTTATTCTATTCCCTCCTACTATTTAACCCTTACAATACAATTATTTGCCAATTACAACATTTAAAAATTTAGAATAAAACCCACATACAACAAACATATCAAATAAAATTTATATATTTTTTGGGTTTTTGTTTTATTTCGAACATGTTCTCCATAACATAAAGAAGATTTTAGACAATTACACACAATAACTTCAAGGAAAAATTCAACTAAATTATTACAAATATATATCGGTTACTTAATTTTATTATTTAATTGATAGAATCATGTATATATGTATGATGCTCTTATTAGACCACAAAAATAGAAGATAGAAACTACTGTGCCATAGAAATCACACACACATACAAAGTTTATGGAACTACTTCAAATAGGAAACATTTTTTGTTGGTTTATTTTTTTTTTAACTTATCACTTAAATAATTAGATTGCTTATTTCACAAAAATCGTATACGAATCCACAGTGCAAAGGTATTTGTTGTTGTTTGGTTTTTTTAATTATTTTTTGTTATTGTTAAAAAGAGAATAGATGGGGGAGAGGTTGGTGAGTTAGGTGTGAGAAGTACATTTGCTGTTTCTTTTTTTTAACGAAAAATAGGTTTGCAACAATCCAACACTACTTAGAAGTTTGATAATCAAATCAAAAAACATTTCGAAAGAATTTAGAGAGTGCCAAATTGTACCTCATCATCTTCGTCGTCTTCGCTACTATTCTCACCACTACCACCCGGGTGTGGCTTAGACGATTTACGACCACTGCCCTTGCCATTTAGTTTGTGTTCAGTTTTCGGAGTAATGGCAGCATTACCTACAACAATATCGTTCATTTCATTTTCATTCGTATCCTTGTGGCTGTTATTTTCCTCATAGTCATCCTCCTCGTGCTCGTTTTTGTTATTTTCATTTTCATCTGAAGTGGTAAAAATATTTTTTATTTTATTGGAAATATCTTTAACATTTTCTTTTAAATTATCCGTAATTTCATCGAATTTATCACTAATTTCTTGTTGGGTTTCTTTGAGGAAAGCTTCGGTAGTTGAGAGGTCTTGATCTTCCTCTGATGCTTTGGGGGATTTGGGAGGTGATTTTTGTGGAGATTCTGAGGATTTGTTATCATTTTTGTCATCTTGAGTTTTATCGTTATCCTCGTCATCTTTATTAGTTGTGCTAGCTGTTGCATTGTTATTATTTTCATCTTCTTCTTTCTCTTCGTTGTCGTGGTCCTTTTTATCGTCATTTGCAAAAATTTCATGTTGGTCCTTTTTCATTATTTGTGTAGCATCTAATAGCTGAGAGTTAGAGCTTTCATTATTAGTTATACTTTCTTTTTTGATTTCTTCTTCCACTTTTTCTTTCTTTTCTCCATCTTTTTCTGTAGTATTTGCTTCCTTTTCATTTTGATTGTCATCTGTTTTTGTTTCATCTTTAGAGTCTTTTTCATTTTCTGCCTTTTTACTACTTATCTCTTTCACCTTTTCATCAGGTTTTTCCTTCGTTTCAGCTTCTTCTTCTTCTTTTGTCGATTCCACTGTACCATCTTCATGCTTACCGTCATCCATGGGTGCCACATTTTTATCACCTTTTCCTTTATCTTCATTATCATTTTTAGGATCCTTATCAAGGGATTTATCAATTTCGTGTTTATCCTCATTTTCATATTCTACATTATTTTCTTTGTCATCTTCATTTTTCGAGTCTTTTGAGATTTCTACCAGTTCTTCTTTTTTACCATTACTTTCTTTTTCATTTTCATTCGCAGCATCTTTTGAGATCATTGCTTGCTCTGTTATTTGAGCTTCATTAGCTTTGATTTCCTCCTCTCCTTTTTCTTCGACTTTCTTTGTAATTTCCTCTTCGCCCTCCTTTTCCCCACTTGCTTTTTCACCTTCCTTGTTATTATCGTCTACTACTTCCTCTTCTTTGTGCTCACCTTTTTTGTCGTCATCCAACACAACCTTATTTTCATCTTCCTTGTCTCCTGTGTCTTTATTTTCCTCTCCCATTGTTTGACCATCCATTTCGTTTTCGTCTGAGGTGGTATTTTTTCCATTTTTATCATCATCTTCCTTAGTTTGGTCCTCATTTCCTTCTTCTTCTTTATCATGACTTTCTAGATCTATTTCTTCTTCTTTGGTCTTACTTTGAGTATCACTGCTTTCAATTTCCACTTTGGTCTCTTCAAGGCCATTGCTATCATTTTCCTTCTCTTCAGGTTTTTCATCTTTTCCTTCGGCAGCATCATCTAGTTCCTTTTCACTTTCTTCTTTGTCATTAGATTCTTTTTCATCAACTTCCATTTGATTTTCTTCTTTTTCCTGAGCTTCCTTTTCATCCTCGTCCTTTTCTTCCGCTCCTGTACTCTTTTCAATTACAGTTTCTTTACTATTCTCTTCATTATTTTCACTCTCATCTTCGTCATTTTGTTTTTCATTCTCCTCAATATCCGCTTCCTGCTTCGTATCCGGTTGATCGTTGTCATTGTTCGTGGCGGTGGCATTCGTTTCATTTACAGACTGTGTTTGTTTCTGTAAAAAGTAAACAATTGTCGACTGATTTCTTTTGTCTTTTTCTTGTTTTTGTTGTTGTAGTTTTTGGAGGGATTTGTTTTTTGTTTTATTTTTTAAGAACCTCTGCATTTTTTTTATTATAGGGAAATTTTAAGCACAGAGAAATATAGAACATAGATGATAAGATGGTATGGGCGTTAAAATCTTAAGGAGGTATGTTAAGCTTAATATAATTAGGATTTAAGAGAGAGAGAGAGAGAGGAGAATACCTACTCAGTAATGAAAGAAGAATGTCGTAATTCTATCCATAAAAGACCCGCTCTTCCGTAGCCTTAGTAGAACACATATTAAATAGGAGTTCTATGGACGTCTTATCTATAGAAGACCTGCTAATTATGTTATATACATGAAAAAATATTTGTATAGTAGCACCCTACTGCTCGCGTGCTCTCTTGACGAGAAATATGATGCCGATCCTGACATTTTTCTTCAGGAGACCTGTGGGACATAGTTCAACAATTGAGACTATTTGAGACGGGTTATATTTATAAAACAGTTGGAACTCTCGTATCTATTGACGACATGTTAAGGTCATATTTTTTGTCACAGCCTAGTAAAATATTTCCAATCTATAGGACGGCTCTTATAGGTCATCCAATTACAGAGACTGAATAGAAAGTCGAGAGCCTGTGGACGGTATTCTGGTCATAACTGCATTTTCCGAAGTGGCTATAATTTTTCATTTCGGTATCGCAGAGGAAACACCAATTCCCATATGAAAAAAATTATATAGGTCTATAGTTTGATATAGTTAACTATTTTTGATATTTTGACCGCCCTGATCCCATTTTCTAAAACGAAAAATTAAGCCCTCTCAGAAGTATCTGATCGTATAATTCGAATTTTGGTGTTTTAATCGAGGGTATATTATTTCGGACCTGTTGATGCGAAACTCTTAAAATGCTTTTCAAAAACCTATGGAAGATATTTTTGCGGTTTCTCCAAAAAATATGTTGGGAGAGGTATCAGGAGGAAGTGTCTCTATATATTTCATCTTGATACTAAAAATATAGTTTCATCGAAACGTTGACCATTTGTGGAAGAAGATCCTTATTTTAGTTTGGAAGATATAATACGTTATTAAAAGTTGGATCAAGTCGGTCACTCTCTTCCAGAGTTATCAAGTGCACCAGTCAACCAGAGAGACGAAAAGACATTTGTCCACATACACTTGATGTGAAGTGTAAATACACAAACTGAGGTTAAGGACAAAAAAATGCTCATGTATATCCTATAGTCCTTGTATAGACCTTCCGTATATGTAAGCCTGTATATAGTTCATCAATATTTCGTACCGCATGAATAGGCTGTTATTTGGCATACTAGATTTTCGGAGACTGACATACATCTATACACAAAATTATCAATGCAGGACCATATTTTGACATAGCTCTCATTCAAAAATCTCCCCCAATTTTCGGTATTTTGAGTTTTAGTCGCATTTCCCGAACGAAATTTTGGATTCTGACATACATCAGCGCCCAAAATGACCGTTATAGGTTTATGCTTTGAAATATTCCCTATATAAAGGTCCCATTTTTTCGTATTTTTTCAACCGAAAAGGTTCCTCTTTGGCATTCCTTGTTTTTGGTAGTTTTAACATATAAAAGTCCAGGCTTTGGTGAAGAAAATATTTATTGTCAGAAAATCTTCAATATAGATAAATTTTCATAATTTTTGCTACATAATAGTTTCTAGAAATGTTTGGCAGACCGAACTTAATCACATTTAAAATTATGTTAGTTTATTCCAGATGATGGATATATTTAATAGATAAAATTCACTAAAGTGGAAAACAACTTCCATATGGGCATCTATCTACTAGTATTTATCCAAGAACCATGCTGCTTATCATCGATATATAAGAGATTGGGGCAGATAAATTCAGGCTCGAATCTGGGAAAAATGGTGAAATATAGCAAACGAAATCTTTCGAAAATCCCATTAAAATATACATTTTAAGCAGACCTCCATTCTAGCTTTCGAGTTTCTTCCTTTTTATTTAAGTCGAATCTCTAATTACTTAAAATGTGAAAAGGGAAAAATGATATTTTGTTTAAGGGACCCCACCCATTCTCGATTTAAAATTTTGGTGATTTTCAACTGGCCTGCAAATGGAAGACGTGTAAGTTATATAAGTTACTGAAGACTTAAAGTATAAACATAATTAACAAAAAGTCTTTCTTTTTGACGCAGACATGATTTCTGATCATTGGAACATTCGATTCGAGGTTCAACATCCTTAGGATTTTCCTATACTTCTCTGGTAAATGATATTTACTGTTGCTCCTTTTTCTCTTTTTATAATTTGAAGATAGTAATTTTTTTGTCTCTCTCTCTATCTCTCTCTCTTACTCCAAATTTAAAAGCATATATTAAGCTTAAAGACATCCAGGTTTTAAACTGATTTATACCATCTTAAAATAGAATTAAAGGAAATATTTTTTTTAACAAAATGAACTAAAGGGGGGAGGAGTAAAATCAAGGCCGACAATGGCTTACTTTTAACAGATCATATTTTGTTTTTATTTTTTTTAAGTTCATTTTGTTCACATCATATGTTTGTCAGTAAAACATTGTGGGTTATGGGAATTAGACAATCAAGAAAAGCTTTTTTTTTGTTTTGCATAAGGATCATGGTGCTTTCAAGCATTTTTTATTAACATAACAAAAAAATTTAATATTTACAAAATTATTTCTTTCGCACAATCTTGTGTTTTGTATATAATAATCCCAATTGTTTCTTTCAAAATTAAAAACGAAATAAATTATGATAACAAATTATAATATAAGGAAAGCTTTTATTGTTTTATTTTGGCCTAGCTAGTTTTCTTAAAAAATTTTTAAAGCTTCTGGTTTTATAATATTCTTCCTAAATATTGTATTTACATACTTCTTGCCCTAACTTTAATCTTAAGGGGTGCATTTATCTCAAAAGCAAACAAGCAATTTATAAAACACAGTACTTACTTCATCTTGTGGTTCATCTTTATCGTCCGAAGCATCAGCTTCATTCGTTTGGGTTTCTTCATTTGTTTCTTCAGGCTTTTCTTCTTCTTCCTCTCCTCCCTTATCATCTTCTTTGGCCTCATCTTCAGCAGGTTGTTCATCTTCTGCTGGTTTTTCTTCTTCCTCGCCCTCTTCAGCTGGTGCCTCAGCTTCTTCACCATTTTCATCATCAGCGGCAGGTTCTTCCTTTTCTGGTTCTTCGGTTAGGGCCTCATCATCACCACCACCACCGGCATCATCATCATCCGCAGCACTCGCACTATTTTTTTATATGGAATGCGAAGTAGATTTATATTAATGCTTTGTAAACTCTTATATTCGAATGAAATGGTATATAACATTTCATATTTATAAATTTATGATACGACTTTAATACGACACCAATTTTATTACTATACTCCAAGTATTTCAAAAATTATTGAACATTAAAGAAAACCTTAAATTCTTTGTTTTCGCCATTTCGACCTAGATCAGTAGATGGCGTCCCAGTCGCAAAATCAACAGGTCGTAACGGAGGTATTGGTAAAATTCAAATAACTTTAAAATATGTTGAGATATTTTGAAAAATCCATTGTCCAAATGTTGTATGAAAATCAAGGATTCCCAACCGATGCACAACGTTCGAGGAGGCGTTGTTTCTAGGCAACGACAGATGGCTGCCACATTACCTAGGACACGCTACAGCAGATCAATTATTTATTCAGCTGAAATAAAGAACATTGACAGATCAAAAGATTGTCGAAAATATGGTATGAAAAGGATCGAAATCAGGCGAACCCGATTTTAGCATCAGAGGGCACATTCTCACCAAGTGTATTTTACACAAACATCCTAATTAATCCGAGTGGAAGAGGAAAAACTCTTTCAAAGTGAATTGCAAATATTTATAACCTGGATATGAGAAGCGTACGAAGTACCGTGGTTCTCTAATGATATTAACATGAATATGGTGCGCCACACAGAAGAAAATAGTAACACTAAAATTGCACAAAGTTCAAGGAGGCGTTGTTTCTAGGCAACGATAGATGGCTACCCCATCACCTAGGGCTGGCTATAGTAGATCAATTATTTACTCAGCTGGAATAAAGAACATTGATAGATTGTCTAAAAATGTGATATGGAAAAGATCGAAAGCTGGAGGACCCGATTTAAACATCAAGGAGGCTTTGTTTCTAGGCATCGATGGATGGCTGCCCCATCAACCCTACAGCAGCTGAAATAAAGAACATTGATAGATCAAAAGATTGTGGAAAATGTGGTATGGAAAGGATCGACATCTGGCGGGTCTGATTATAATATCGGAGGGCACATTCCCAACAAGTGTAATTTACCAAACACCCTGATTAATCCCAGCGGAATAAGAAAAAAACTCTTTCAAAGTGGATTAGGAATATTTGTAAAAAAAGCTCCATATGAGAAGAATCCGTATTACCCTGGCCTTCTAATGGTATCAACATGGAGATGGAGGCAGGAGATAGCGCCACACAGAATAAAATATTAACACTAAAATTAGCAAGGATCCCCACCACTTGCACAAAGTTCAAGGAGGCCTTGCTTCTAGGCAACGATAGATGACTGCCCTACCACCTACGGCTAGAATAAAGAACATTGTTAGATCAAAAGATTATCGAAAATTTGATATGGAAAGGATGGATATCTGGCTGACCCGATTTTAACATCAGAGGGCATATTACCACCTAGTTAATCCCAGCGGAAGAAGGACAATTCTTTCAAAGTGGATTAGGAATATTTATGACCGCCATATGAGAAGAAGAAAATTGTGACACTAAAATAACAAGGACACCAACCATTGCAAAATTTCAAGGAAGCGTTGTTTCTAGGCAACGATAGATTATGGCATCCAAGTGGGTTATGAATATTTATAACCGCCATATTAGAAACATCGGAAGGACGCTGGTCCCTCAAGAGTATCAACATGGAGATGAAGAAAAGAGATAGCGCCACACTGAAGAAAATTGTAACACTAGAATAAGCAAGGACCCTAACCATTGCACAAAGTTTAAGGAGGCGTTGTTTCTAGGCAACGATAGATGGTAGCCCCATCACTACAGATCAATTATTTACTCACATGGAATAAAAAGCATTGTCACATTAAACGATCGACGGGAAAAAAGGTATATTTTGAAGCAAAGGAGAAATTTTTGAATAAAAACTTAATTTTAGGAAACAAATTTGGTTTACTGTGGTAGGTCATGGACTTTTCAATTAGAACAAGATCATGATTTTGATTTTACTTGAATTCAAATATATAAATAGTCTTTATTGCTTTTATTTGAAAAATAATAGACTTACCCCTCTGTCATTTCGGCTTCCGATGTATTTTCATTACTTTCCGTATTTGAATGTCTACCAAAACCATTCATTTCGGGTATTTTAATGTCGGGCTTCTGAGGGCAAATTTAAACAACAACAAAAATTAAAACAAATAAAATAGTAATAAATTATTTTTTCAGTTCACCTTGAACACATAAAATCACACCGGTTTACTCACCTTACCATCACCACTGTCATCGCTTAGGGCCTCCCAATCTGTGGCGACATCTGGGGAGACTCGTGGTGCTTCGGGTACATACGTCAGGAACGCCCTTTCAATTTCATGCGGTTTATGCCGATAAAATGAAGGCGTTTTCATTTTCTGTTTTATAATTTAAGTCGCAACCAATTGGCGATGTCATTCGAACAAAAAGGAATGGAGCAGGAAGAGGGAAAAATGTCAAACAAAACATTTCAATCAAAATTTTGTTGCCCTGGATTTTTAATTTAAAAATTGTTTCCAAAAGTGACAAACTTACATAATCAACGGCTTCTTCGTCACAGCCAGCTTGCGTGAGCAGCGTATAACAGCGCATATTATTTTTGGCACTGGCAGCCCAATGCAATGGGGTTTTGCCGGTTATATCACACTCATGTACGCCATCGGGCCAGGTGGTGATCAGATATTCCAAAATTGTGGCATGGCCCAAACCCGCCGCTTTGTGTATGAGATTTAAGCCATTGGCATCGCGACATGTTACCAGGGCAGGTGGTACGGGCGGTTCCAAATGGGCCTGCAGATTTTCCAAGTTATTATCGATAACAGCTTGATGGACATCGCGTATGGAATTCTAAGGTAAGTACAACATACATGATTATTGTTATTATTGTTATCGAAATGCTGAAATATTTTACTCACCATCACATAAGGCACTGCTGCTAGAAATCGCTTAACTCTTGGATTGGTACTGGCCTGTTGCCTTAAACGATTTCCCTGACCAGCCCATAAAATGCGGGTTAATTTGCCAATTTCCTTTTCGTGCATCCATATTCGTATGGTCGATAACTTGACTGAGAAATCTACAAAGAAAATAAAATGAACAAAATTAGCATTTCATTGCTCCTTTCGCCAAAAAAACAAAAAAGTCCTTTGAGCGCGAGAACTAATTTAAAGTTTTGTGCTCGCCTTGCCTGTAGTGTCTTTGCGTTTTTGCCTGTGAAAAACTCTTGTTTTTCAATTATTATTTATTGCATGTTTGCATGTCAATCAAGACAAGTTTTTTTAGCAAACTTATTTTGTTATTTATTTCACACGCTGACTACTTCTTTAAATAAAACAAAAATTGCAGATATTTGTCGGATTGGTTGTTCCATGCCCCACAAAAATACTCATCGAGAATTTTTATGAAATTTGTTTTCAAGTGCAATCATTGAAAGCAATGAAAATGACATTACTATAAATTTCTTCAGTAAAAGTAAGTTGAAGTGAGAAAAGGGAATGTTTGAAAAGTGAAAGTTTTATCGCAATCAATGTTCAAGGTTGTTTATTAGACGAAAGAAAAATAAATTTTGAAAAGGTGCAATAAATAGTAGAAGGATTTTTTTTAAATTTAAATAAAAAAAAAACAAATTGGGGAAGCCCCTGAAGGGATTGATGTCTGGTGGATCGGATTTTAAAATCGAAGGGCACATTCCCACCAAGTGCATTCACACAACCATCCGACGGAACCTGGACTTCTAATGGTATTAACATCAGCATACGAGAATGACACAATTGGGGAATGGCAAGAGATAGCGTCATACAGAAGAAAATTGCAACGCTAAAAAAAGCAAGGACCTCAACCATAGATTGGCTGCCCATCACCTAGGGCTGGCTATAGCAGATCTGTAATTTACTCAGCTTGAATTGAAAACACGAAATTAACACAAGGACTAACTGAGTAAGATAACGATGATTTGTGGAAACCATATAAAATTACATTTAAGAATAGTTTCCAAATAAATGGTTCCACTCGATCGGTATCAACATCAGCACATGAGGGTAACACAAAATGATAATGACAGGAGATAACGCCACACACAAGAAAATGGTAACACTAAAATAAGCAAGGGCCACAACCATTGCACAAAGTTCAATGAGGCGTTGTTTCTAGGCAACGACAGATGACTGGCACATCACCTAGGGCAGGCTACAGCAGATCTATTTTTTAATCAGTCTGAATTAAAATCACGAAATTAACTCAAGGACTGGCGAAGTAAGATAGGTATGATTTGTGGAAGCTCAATGCTCCCAAGAGAAGTACCACAAGAAAATGTCGAAATTTACATTTTGAAATACGTGTCAATAAATGGTTTCACACAACTTCTGACATTTTAAGTGATTTTGCCATATATTCCTTAGAAAAAATCCATCATTCAAAATAAAAAATGGTCCCATGATACTGGGCGTATTTTTTATTTTGAATTAATGATTTTAATGAAAAAATGGGAATGACAGGAGATAGCGCCACACACAATAAAATGGTAACACTAAAATAAGCAACCATTGTACCAAGTTTATGATTCTGGGGCTATTTCAACCTGAATTAGTGATTAAAGTCCAGCTCAGGTCGAACATAACGACCTCTTCACATGTTATAACATATTATTGATGTAATCTCCACATTAGGACCCCGCCTCATTTTATGTATTTCTATGACCCATTCAAGGAGGCCTTAACTTGGAATTCTTGGAGGCTAACGTAATAATATGCCCAAATATAGTAATATAGCGCATATATTAATATATGTGGGCAAATATATAGCAGCATAATTAAGGTCCCGATAATTTTAGGTATCTTTATACCCTGCACAACTATTTTGTCAGACATATTTACCCCAGAACGATATAGATCGAATAAGTTGACAGTATATCCAAGAGGAATGATTGACCATCAAATTGATACTCGCGATCAAATCCGCTATGAAATATTACATGAAGTTCCGGTTTTCGGAGATGTTTAGATGATATTTAAGGGGTGCAATGAACCGAAAACTTAACTTCTGTCAGGTTTTCTAGTCGCTCTAGACGTCATTATTAAATGAAGAACATGGCATATTTTTCATAGTGAACGGGATCTGGCCAAATATTTAGAACGACTATCATCTAAACAGTACTTCTAAATATTTGGCCAGATCCCCTCGGTCAATATCAGATCGGTCCAATTTTTATTTAGAGTAACATGGGGTAATGTGGACCACCATTCTCTTTTTTTGATATTGTGGGCGTAACAACGGTAAAAAATAAACACAAATTGTTTTCACATCATAGTAGATTTTTTGGTTAAAAATATTTCGGTCAAACATTATATATATTTGTCTAAAAAAATTTTATTGCATTATATTTCAAAAAACTTTAAACTGCGACTAAAAAATAGCTTGGCGGGTAATGTGGACCAGTATGTGTGGGTAATGAGGATCAGTAAGTTAAAGGTAGGTTGTGGATTGGTTGTGATAAGTTTCCATTTATTGCACTCTTGGGTAACAATGAATGTAAAAGTATATGGGTTAATGTTTTGGAATAGTCCCCATTTAAGGGTTGAGGTATTTTGAAGGTCCTTGCTTCATTATCCAACCGAGGCACCTGTAATTTTGTATATCGAGTTTTCAGAGAATAGAATACCTCCTCGCATATTAAATGCGCTCATGTTTCGAACTCGTCCTCATGCAAAGGTCCCACTTTTTTTATAGTGGTCGACATTACCGGACATTGAATATTTTTTTTTTAAATAATTATCGGCTTCAAAAATGAATAAAAATTAAAAATCGCCGATTGTAAATATAGCTAAACGTATACTTTTGTTAAAAGAAATAAGAAGACCACATAATTTATTTATATTCGAGAGAAACCAAGTGTTCGACTATTTTGCAAAAACGTTCGACTATTGAGGCAAAAAAAATTTCAAATCACACTTTTACAATCAGAGCTACATTTTCTACGGCTAAATTTTCAACATTGCAATTTTTAATTAAAAATCCAGTTTGATGTTTGTTTTCACTAATTAGCAAGCAATTCTTAGATATGGGGGGTCAGCAACGTACACTGGATTTCATTTCGGGGGGTGGTAGTACAAAATGAAAAAAAATCGCTGTTGCAAACATAAATTTACTGTGAAAAAAATTCGTTTCGGCGCGTACGTCCCTGTGGGGGGTGGTCCACATTAGACACCTAGTCCACATTTCCCGAAGTAACTCTAATGGCGTAAATATTCAACTCGGGAAAACAAGATTTGGAAAATATGCTAGGGTTAGAAACTTGAGCTGTGCAGGGTAACATATGGTCGGCCCCGTCCGTCTATGCTGCTTCGCTTACTGGTTTTAATTCTAAAAATATTTTCGAAACGATTGGTCTGTTCCAATACTTTTTAATAGTTAAGCTAGTAAAAGGGAAACATTTCAAAATCGCTCTTAGAGTACAAAAGAATTTAAACGCAAATCTAGTAAATATGTCAAAATCAACATAATAGCCAATCAGAAGTTTGCATTCCAGTTTACCATTTTTACTCGAACAAATTTTTCTGTTAAAAAGTTTACAAAGAGAACGCCATTTTGTTTTATGTTCTCTTAAATTTGGTTCAATGTTTTACCAGTTTTGTGGGTTCAGGAACGGTTTTCGAGTAAAATGTTGAAATACTTGTAAAATTAGGAAATTCTGGAACGGAACTGATATGTCTATAAATTTTCTGAGAGTAAACCAGAAAGGAAAGTAGTAAAGTCGGACGGGGCCGACTATATGATACCCTTCACCACTTTGGGTATATTCAACCGATGAATCCTAAGAGTTGTCGCATTTTTGAAGGACCAGTAAAATGAAATTGGATCCATAAACATGCCATTCTGCAACCTATACTAAATTTTTGCAACATATACTAAATTACTTATTTTAACATAGGACGGAAATATACATAAAAGCTATATCAAAATCTAAACCGATTTCATCGGAACTTGTCCCAAGTTATGTTATACTAATTTCAGTATGTTTTGTGCATATCAGAAACATTTTAAGATCTTGGTGCATCATTTACTAAAAATCGGGAGATAATATATATGGTAGCTCTATCCAAATTTAAGCCGATTACACCAAAACTTTCCAAATTTTAGGGACTTTGATAAAGAATGATATATAAGGACTTTGTTATACCATTTAATTAAGTCGGCCGAAAATATATGTGGGAGCTATATTTAAATCTGAACCGATTTGCATGAAATTTAACACGCATCGCTCTAGACTTAATTCAGTACGCTATGCCAAATTTCGTGCAAATCGATGGATATATAGGGGCTTTGGTGCACTATTTACCTAAAATCCGACGAAAATATATGTGGGAGCATTATCTAAATCCGAACCGATTTTCATGAAATTCAACATGCATCGGCTTTGGTGCACTATTTACCTAAATTCGGATGGAAATATATATGGGAGCTATATCTAAATCTTGCAAAATTTCGTGCAAATCCAAGGATATATAGGGACTTTGGTGCACTATTTACCTAAAATGGGAGGAAAATATATATGGGAGTTATATCTAAATCTGAACCGATTTTCACGAAACTTGGCACACATCATTCTGGACCTAATTCAGTACTCTATGCCGAATTTCGAGCAAATCGAATGATATATAGGGACTTTGGTGCACCATGTACTTTAAATCGGACGAAACTATATATGGGAGCTATATCTAAATCTGAACCGATTTTCTCAAAACTTGGCACACATCGTTCTGGACCTAATTCAGTACTTTGTGCCAAATTTCATGCAAATCGAAGAATGTAGAGGGAATTTGGTGCCCCATTTACCGTAAATCGGACGAACCTATGTGTGGGAGCTATGTCTAAATCTGAACCGATTTTCTCGAAACTTGGCACCATTCGTTCTGCACCTAATTCAGTACTCTATGTCAAATTTCATGCAAATCGAAGGATGTAGAGAGACTTTGTTGCCCAATTTACCTTAAATCGGACGAACCTATATATGGGAGCTATATCTAAATCTGAACCGATTTTCTCGAAACTTGGCAGACATCATTCTAGACCTAAATGTTT